TGATTCACCTAATCCAACTCCCTTCGCTGTTGGTCGTTTCATTGATCTGATCAAGAGCGAACTGGACGTAGTAGATTAAGAGGTCAAGTATGGTTTGTGCTAGGCTGCGAACCATCGCCAGCGATGATGTTAATGCGCCGCCTTTGGGCCCGCATTATTGCGACATCTGTTAGAACAATTTCTAGTCAGTGGCAGTTGTGCCGTCGTTTAGAGCGGTTGCTTTCTTATCCTCTTTCCTTCCTATTTCTTCTCACTATATTAGCTTCCACCCTTCTTACATCTTTTTGCTACCCTCTTCGAATCTGTGTCCCGATCATTCCTAGATTTTTGCCTCTCAAAGCCATGTGTCTTTAAATTGCGACTGCAGCTCATCTTACTTTCTTTCAATATTATTTCCTTGCTATAATTGCTTACCCCTGCCTCGTTGTACCGGGTCCTTTTGCAACAATTCTCGCGAGTCTATCGATTATTCCATTTTTCGTGTCGATCATTTGGATAAATAGATTATCGTCCAAACTCAGAATGCCTGCTAGCGCAAAAGTATATTCGCACGCTATTTCATCTGGCAGTCTCAAAAACGCATCTAAGGCATCATCGCAAAACCAAAAAGTAGGGTAGAGTGGAAATGATGATGAACATCATGATTATCATTCTGTGTGCGAAATCATGCAAACTATTCTTTGAAAAATACTGATTCGCTCACGGAAACACTTGTGTTAAAGCTGAAGAAGAAGCTTTTCAAGATTCTGAGACGGAGAAGCGAGAAAGCAGTGTAGTTGTCGCAGGTCTTTCTGAGGCGCCTAATGGGCGAGGAGTGTGGCCCACGGTCTACCAAATGGGTAGACCCACTGATGATCGGCCACGACTCGTAAAAATTGTTTTTCTATTGCGCCTCTATTGGGCGCAGGCCCTATCTAGCCCATATCGATTGAATCATTTTCAGTATCGCATATTTTTATAAGAAGGAGCGTGACTCCTAGTAAAAGGGAACACGATTCGGAGTTGCGTAAGAAGGCGCGGGAGAGGAATAGGGGAAGGACAGTAAAAGAGTGGGTAATCGATCGTGGAAAGCTCAAGCATATATCAAACCTGCCAAAGCGCCTCTTACAGAGAAACATGTAGGCAGTCCAGGATTCAAGAATTACCTCAGTTGTTATTTATTCAGGTCACGTAGCGTTCAAACAAATTGCACCTCCTACAAGCTTTTTTGCAAATACATTCCGCCGACGTCCTATGCTGTAATGGATCTTGGCTACACCTCAAGATCTCTGAGTCCGAACTTATTATTGATCTACCCTCCCCTATATATCGATGCGATCGAATAGCAAATAAAGGAGGTGGAGTCTACCGCTTTGTTAGGATTGATTTTGTAGTGCAGCGCTTAAACTCGGTCGCAAACTTAATTTAAATTTAGACGTTCTCTATTTGGATATATACTCTACTGTCTCTCGAACTCCTCACAGATTCATAATTGTCTATCAGCCTTCTTCCACAAAAACAGCAGACGATGAAGCCCTGATTACTACTATTCGAGAGTTTTGCTTTCCTGTTGAAACCATTGTTCTTGGTGATTTCAATGCCGATGTAAGCTCTCTTGGTAAAAACCCACAAGAAAAGCGTTTCTTCGACCTCTTCCGCAGCCTTGAGTTAAAGCAGAACGTGACTTTACCTACTAGATACTTGTCAGCTATTGATTTGATTTTTTCATCCAATGATTCTGTCAATAATCTTCATATGCTTCCTCCATATGGTTCTCAGACCATATTGTTGTCGTTTCTCATGTTAGTTTCCAACTCTACGCAACTTTTTATCTGCCTTTCTCTAATTTCTTTCAAAACCGATTACTCAAAATTAAATGAATCCCTTCTACGACTTAACTGTGCAAACATTCTTTGCGATTTCTTATCATTTGATGGTCTTTACCGGCATTTTTGCGTAGCCTTATACAATGTACTTGCCAAATTCGTGCCTCTCGAAAAAATTTATTCATTTGCCTATCCTAATCATATTCGCAACTTGATCAAACAAAAAGTAAGGCTGTTTTTATTCATGCCTAATCCACTCAATGATAACTTGTATGGAACACTTATTTTGACTTAAATTATCATTTGAAAAAATTTCTGCAAAACCACGAACATCTGCTTGCAAAAAGAATTAAGGAGTTCTTCAGTATTTCAAAAGTAAAATAAAGGGTAATATGAAGTTGACTCTTATAGACGAATCGGTTGCCTCCTTTATGGAGGACCAGTCGAGGACAAAGGCGTTATGGCAATTTTTTGGCAGTGTATTCGAAAAAGGCTAATGATGACAAACGCGGTGAGAATGCCTTTGGCAATAGATCAAATCTCCGTATCTATTGATGAATTACGCGTCGACCCAGATATAGCGCGTTCTGTATACTAAAGAGTCTGAAGCCTAATACAACCCCCACATACGGCGGTATGCCTCAGATTATCTACAGAAACTGTGCTCAAATAGCGTTCCACTCTCGTATATTTCTAGCATGTCCCTTTTAGCGGAAATCGTGTTCGAAATTTGGAAAGAAGCGCTCGTCACTGCGATCCCCAAAAAAGAATTTAGCAATGCATTGTTAAATTTTCGACCCATCAGTATAGTGCCAACGGCTGGTAAAGTTCGTGAAGACGTCTGCAAAAAAGCTCTTAGACTGGCTGTATAGTAACCATATTCTTCCCCCTCAACAACATAGATTTCTTTCTGGATTGCACCACAACCTTATTTACTGATTCCTTTCTTAACTGGATTACAGCCCTCAATAAAGGTTAAGCAATTTGACCTATCTAAAGCACTTAATAAGGTGCATCACAGTGAACTTGTTTTCAAGCTTAAAAACTACGATATCAGAGGGCGTCTTCCTTCCTGGCTAAAATCATATCTTAGTGAAAAAGTTACGACGATCGAGTGGGAATATGTAATGATCGTCACTGTTGTAGTAGGTGTCCCCCCAAGGATAAGTTCTTTCCCCTCTGCTATTTTTGGTGCATGTTGCCGAGCTCTCCACTCTTTTGAAAACCCTTCCAGATATCAAAGCACGAATGTTTGCTGACGGTATCAAAGTATTTCACTGTTAAAATTTGATGAACAACATGTTGCCTTTGATGTACTCTCGTCTTCTGACCAAAGACTGATCTCCTGGTCTGAAGATTGAAACATCCCAAATTCTTCCGAGACCACTGTGATGCCGTTAGGGAATCCTCTTCTCACACTAATAACTATGACGGTGTCACCTTGGGTCCTCTAACCTCGTACGAAATCTGTGTGATGATCATTAACACTATTAATTTTTCCACCCGTATTGACTTGGTAGTCAGAAAGTCATCGTTGGCTCTCTTTACAATTTTCAGAAATATACATAGTAGTAATCCAAATATTTTTGATTTAATATAATAGCTACGTTCTGCCACACCTGGAAACCCTTCTCCGGTACGGACTCTTTTTGAGAAAAGTATTGAAAAGCTCAAAAAATTCAGAAATTTTCACGAGGATCTTTTTTTATAGCTGTTACCTTAATTCAAATTACCCCCGTAGTCTACCTTCATAACGATCACGACCCAATATTCTTCAGCTTCATAGTCTAAAGAGGCGACTCATAAATGATCTGGTCTTGAAGTTCCGCATTTTACGCATGGAGACAAGACTCCGCGTCAGTAAGTACTGGATCTTTACCATGTAGTCAACGTTTAGGTAAGTTTAGATTACATCATCGCAGACTAGGCACTAAAAGACTTTCAATCACTTTCAACTTGTTTGTTTGCCTTATTTCAAGATGGTTCTATCATCACTGCCAGAGCTAATAACTTCAAATGAGTATTTCAACTATATTTCGTAGAAGACTGCAAAACTTTGATGTACTTCAGATTCTAAAGATTCTTGATTTTTAGAGTTTATCCCTACATTTCCCGATGCTCTCAGCTTGGTAGTCGTTGATCAGTTGCTAAGTATGCCGTGACGCCAATTCCTTCAGTGTTTGCTTGCCTAAGTGGAGGATTACTAACGTCTGTTTTCTAATCGAAGTGTTGTTACTGATGTGCCGTGATTGGCAGCCTGTTTGGTTATTGTTACTGCCATTTACATCTCCCCTTTTTTCCTTCCGTTTGTTGCTAACAATGTTAATTTTCTGCATGATTTGCCGCTCGTCGTATCATTGAGAAATATTGGTACCTTTAACTCACCGAACCATGGCTTCTCAGCATTCCGCGTCAGTTCACTTCGTCATCAAGATTATTTGCCGAGCCTAGCTCTCCGGTCATATCTTGCTTTCTTTTACTACATTTTTCTTCGAAGCCAAGTTCGCTAGCCTCCGCCCGTAGGCTCGCTAACACCCAAGGTCGTCAGAGCTTTTGAGATGGCAAGGTTCTGGAGCTAGTCTGGTCTTTGTTGATTGGCTTGCCTTCTTCAACTTATTATTTTTTACTTTGCATATTTCAATGATCATTTTATCTGGGTTTTGTCTTTCATTATCTTGTTTTCCTCTCTAGTTCCTCACAGCTATTTCCTCGATAAGACTGGTTGGTACTATGCTCGTTCGTTCGCTGTTTTATTCTATCTTTTTGGCACACCTCGAGTACATTAAAATAAATAAATAAATAAAGTGGCTAAGTTCACTGCTATTAGCTATAAAGGAACTATCAAGAAAACTTTTTTTGCTCAAGAAAACAAAAACTGGTGATATTTTGCATCGCTCGTGTGGCGATTAGGAAATCGCAGCGAAGCACTCTTTCAACTTAAAAACTTTTTGGGTTGAAACATAAAAGGTTACTGAGCTGTCAAGAAAATATTCAAATTTTTCGATGCAGAACCGCGAGATCAAAATCAAGCTTGTTTGTTTCCGCTTTGCATTTGATGCACACATGGATCAAGTAAAAAGCTGGAGAAATATTGGTAGTTTTGCCAAGTTTCTGTACATTTTAGGGCTTTGCTTGCTCTTAGTGATAGTTGCAACGAAAAAAAGGAAAGCTCGCTAACATGAGCGGGACAAGCACTCACCAGCTTGAGAGATTGAAGAAAATAAAAAATATATTCAGCGTTGCACCAATAATTCCACCCGCTAATTGAGCGACGGTGTTGATCGCTACAGATTGTTCATAGTCGAAATCGAACATCAACATTGAAAAGGCAGATCCAAGTCTAAAAGAACTACTTTTTAGAGGTTACATATCTCTGAAAACAAGACAAACAGCACTTAATACCAACGTTGAAATAGTTGATGTTGCAAAAATTTGAGCAAATCTAGTTACAATACAAATAAGTACTGCAATAAGACATGGCGAAGGCAGCTCCTTTGTCATCTGTGATGAATCATCTTAGCAGTGCATAAATATAGATCCGCACCTTTGCAGCATCACTTTCCAGAACGTCATAGTTCTCCTCAAGAAAGAAGTACACAATGAAAAGGCCAGCAATGCTTATCGTGAATGAGAACAGTGCAGGAGCATTGTATATGTGGATGCGGTAAAAGGGCAACAAGTCCACTCCTTTTGCCCCAAGAGGAGTGAAAAATAATTGAAACGCTAGAAGTTTCTGTTGATATTCGATGCAACCTAATAAAAGCATGCTCACCTGACCCTATCAAATAGCCAATTGCGGTTCCACCGCTGACACAAGCGAGAGCTCGAGAACGGTCTACCTTTGACGATGAAGCGGAAACATAGGCTCGCAAAAGTGACGTGTTGCCTCAATATTATAATGATAAAGTATTTTGCCCCATTGAGATGAGATGTATCGGACAAGGCATCACCTTCTCCAAGCCCTTGAATGAACTTTGCAGCGAGCATCACTACACCTGCGCAAGAAGGAGTGGCAAATGATAACGACAGATACAAAGCGTTTCCTATCACCATAAAACAAAAACTGACCAGCAGTGGAATTTCCACCTAAAATTGTAGTCAATTTATAATCTCACTCATCTTTGCTCTATATGCGGTATCGTATCATAGAAGTAGTGCTTGAGACTATCACCCCCAGTTCCTTGATTCTACCGCTTTGGATTCGACCGTTTCAACACAGATTCTTGACTTCCAGGTTTTTGTCGTTTCAGGACCTTCTCATGTCCTTGATTCCGAGTATGAAAGCGAGAATCCGCGAAAACTTCGACAATCCCCGTTCCAGAGAACCCACAGGCCGGCTTTCTGGAACGGCGATTGGCTAGGCGCGCACGGATGGACGGGCATGGAGAAAAAGGGCGGTGGGGGTATTGCGCATCTTTTATCTCGAAGCGATTTTCTCGCTTCCGGAGCGACAGTCTGCGCTGCGACTTGGGTATTGGCTTGACACTGGCCCCTGCTATCATATGCTGTCAAAAGCTCAAGGCCTTCAACTTAAGATGGACGGTGCTTTAATTGAGCTTATGCGGCCCCAGTCACGAAAATGCTAACTAGAAAGTCGGGTCAAAACCGGTATTTGAGGAACTTGCTGGTATTTGTCTTTATGTGCAACATCTTTCGGTTACAATCTCTTTAAAACGACAGCCCCGTGCAGTGCAATCACACTATGCAGGCTGATCTTTTAGCCTAAGTAATTTTGAAAGTAGTCGTAACTCTTATTTATCAGAAAAGAATAAGAAGCAGATAAAAAGAGGTGGAACCTAAGGTGATCTAGGGATAGCAAACTAATTAGCGCGTGCGTTGTTGGGTAGCGTGGAACGTTGCCCTTACTGAATCATTTCAGACTCACTATCGCTGGGCTATGCGCAGGGCCGGCACGAGGATATTATTCGAAGGCAGTGTCTGGGCGAAAAGTCGAGTGTGAGAATTTGTGCTTACCCGTCCTATTTCCTGTGTTAAATCCGAAAATCCATACAGGAGGGAACGAAAACGGCGGAAAAAAGGGCTCCAACGCTGGAGGAAAATCAGCAGGTGGGCGAGGCCTTCCCCATTATGAATCTACGTTCCCAACTTCTGAAACGATCTTCTCTATTTCGCTAGCCGCCCTGACTTCGCCTACGGTAAAGTGCGACTTGAAATTGAACCCGAGAAGGTCGCTCCGACTGGGAGTTTTAATTCACAGTGGGAAAGATCCCGCCCACCTGCGTTTTTCCTTAGTGTGGATTTTCGGAAGCGGATAGGAACGGGTAAGCACAAAATCTCAAAATCGACTTTCTGCCCTGAACTGCTTTTGAGCTAGCAATGTTTTAGGGAAAAAACAAAAGGCTGCGCGTTCTATAAGTCACATAAGTTTGCAAATCTCTTCTTTATTTCACAGGTTTCGTGTGGTAGCGTAGCGCAATAAGGAGTTTATTAAGTATTGTATATGACTAACAGGGACACTTGTTACCCTAATTTTACGCACCTTTTCGGTTTTTTCAAGCGTGCCGCTCAGCAGCCTCATTCTGTTTTGGAAAACGAGACTTATGCCGCACGATACTCTCAGGCAATATGCGTCACTGTAAATAGTTTTTTGATCGCGAAGTCCTTTGGCGTGTCTGTGTTGGTTTAAAAAATCTTCCGCGTCCTATACGCGTGAAATCAGGGCAAATATTAATGACAAGAGATTAGCAGCTTCTATGGCTTTTGGTGGCAAAGTCAAAATATAATTATCAAATTGAATATCTCTACTAGTTCTCTCTATTCGTCACGCACCATACTCATATTGGCACGATTCCTGTGGGAAGAACCGGAACTAACACAGAAACATCTGGAAACGCCAATAGCCAGCGAAATCATTTGTTTTGGCTCTCAAACACCAGGTGACTTCCGCGCCTCGCATGATGTTGCAGCGCGCGTATGCAATTTTACGAAGGCACGGATGGAGTCAGCGCAGGTTGAGAGGAGGGGACGATTTTCTTTGCACTGAATTGAAAACAACTGAGTCCTCGCAACAGCGCCCTTTCAAGCAGATGACATCACATTTGGTCTACAGAAGTGCACGGGCTAGGGTTATAAATTATAAGAAATTACGTAATACACCATTGAAAGTAGGTAAAAGTAGCGATAAGCTCCAAATGCAACGCGCAAAATATGCGGTCATGTCAGAAACTTACTTTATGAGCGTGGGAGCGAGAGGGGGGGGATAGGGGGAGGGGAGGGAGAGGAGGAGGGAGGAGAGAGCTTGCAAAATTCTTCTGAAGGATGGTGACTGGCAGTGTGATGCCATCCTAGAGGTAGCCAAACCGCTACTCCACAAGTTTTTCTTGATTCTTGCATAACTGCTGTATCTCTAAAGTCTACTACGTAGCACGGATTGCTATCAAAACTCTCCTTTCACTTTAACACCCATAGCAACAACAACGGATCGTAGAGGAGAAAAGCACTCTTCGTGTGAACAAGTTCTCCTTTGATCGCTGTTGGCGCTAGTAAAGGAGAAGGAAAAATTTGAAAGTTCAACGAATTTGTTTACCAGGTCGCCATTTGCTACTCTTTTGCCGAGCCCTGACTATGCTAAATACATCTAACAACCTCAATTTTGTGAAGATGTTGGGGTATGTTTAAAAAGCATAGAAAACCTGCTCTATTCGATTACTCCAGTATCCAAGACACGGTGCTGATATACATGAGGCAAGGCTGTACAAAGTCATGATGAAGCCAAATTGCGTTTCAGTTGCATCTGGATCCAACTAAATATATCAATCCAACTTTACGCAATCAGCATTTGAGCATGTTCGTACTGTTTTCAAATATGGCCACATTGAACTGATAAAGATACTAAACTGAGCGGATTGTGCAAGTGAGCAAGCGCCAATAACATAAATAGATTTCCACGGCGTCTTTATTTCTGATAACTGCTGGACATGATGCGAATTTGAATTTGCATAGTCCTAAAAAAGAAAAGATGTAGAGAACTATAAATCCTCTTCAAACTAAAATATTGAAATAAATGAGAAAAATTTGTTTGCTATGAATATTCAAAAACACCTCCAACAACCTTACATGAAGAGAGCATTTGCGCTCAATGATTATGTTTAAAATATCACCCGAAACGAATTTGTCATACATGACCAAAGTTTGCTGGTCTGGAAAGCGGATAAAGTGGCGAGTTTGCTCGTCTGTAGGTTGAGTAAGATTTGCCACTTTACCCGCTCTCCAAATTCCAAATTCTTTCAGTGGAATCGTTTTGCTGAAGAGATGAAAAGTATAAAGAGCTTCTCAGACAATCACAGGCTCTCAGCCGGCGGCCACAAAGCCACCGCGAAAACCCACCAAAAGCGCGGTGGCCTCATCGCGGCCACTTTCGCTTCCCGCTGAAGCCCTCATAGCAGTCCGCCCGCTGCCAGCTTTAGCCTCCCGCTCATTGCCATATTTGTAGCCCGCTCGCTTCTACAGTTCTCAGCGGGAAGCGGCAGTGAGGCGATAAGGCCACGGCGCTTTTGGTGGGTTTTCGCGGTGGCCTCATCGCGGCCACTTTCGCTTCCCGCTGAAGCCCTCATAGCAGTCCGCCCGCTGCCAGCTTTAGCCTCCCGCTCATTGCCATATTTGTAGCCCGCTCGCTTCTACAGTTCTCAGCGGGAAGCGGCAGTGAGGCGATAAGGCCACGGCGCTTTTGGTGGGTTTTCGCGGTGGCTTTGTGGCTGCCGGCTGAAAATCTTGTCTGTGTAGCTTCTTGTTATGTTATGAGATATGACCACATGGAGAAATAGATATGGCCCCAGATGGTTATGTTCTTCATTGTTACTTGCCATCGCTATAATGAATTAATTGAAGTTACAACGTTGTAGTCCAAGCATAACAAGAAGCTACACAGACAAGATTTTCAGCCGGCAGCCACAAAGCCACCGCGAAAACCCACCAAAAGCTCCGTGCCTTATCGCCTCACTGCCGCTTCCCGCTTTCCTAAAAGATAGGAAGTGTCCGTAGCCCAAAAGCTTAGAGGTTAGCTTAGATCGTATACTACGACTATGTACGGCCACGTTTGTAAACTCTGGATAAAGGTTATAACTAATGAAATGGCAAGTAACAGTTAAGTGGATGAGCACGCAAGTACGCAGTGATACACACGCATAGATTTACGTTCTTTAGAACAGAAAATATGCTGATAATAGACCTTGAGGGTATAAACATTGATAAAACGAATCCATATGGGGAGCGGCGACAAAGCAATACACATTCCACCGCGATAAATATATTCACAAACTTGAGTGAGGAACTGCCAGTGTTAGCGCGCAATGCAAGGGTTTCTCATGCGAATCAACAATCCATTCGCGCCTGAGTATCGTTCAGGCAACTGTCACTTCTGATCCAAACCCATTTTCCTTATGTTGTGCAACACTTCCTCTGGAATTGTGTGCGTCTTCGTCGGTGACTGCAGCGTCTAAGAGGCTGTAATTGACTACGATTACAAACATCATGAAATGCCTGCAAAAGAGAGAGTAGTTGGAAATATATAGATATACATCAAAGACAGACATTAGACAGAGAGAAACGCAAGACAAATATGGTACAGCAATTAGTGGAAGTATGAAAAGCCCTAATTTCATTTCTAGGAGGTAGGGAGACTTTATCAAGCCTTGACGATAAAAAGAGACAGAAACTAGTTCCACATCACAGCTGTAAATAACTATCGTCGATTCGTTGACTGCGCGGACTGGACATAACCGCGGAGCACGCGCCGCGAGGTAAAACGCTTGCTCCAATACAAGATCGCCATTGTTCGTGCTCTCGCAACATGTTAACCGCGCCGCATGTGGTCCGCAGCGCTTCAGCAGTCCGTACGGTCAACGAATCGACGATAGCTGCGTTGACGAACGACTGCGTGCCAAACAATTTTCCGTAAAACCGTAAACCTTTTATGTGCTCACTGTACAAGTACAGTCGATTCATTTCATGTCATCATGTGTGCACCCGCACACACCGTCCATCTTTGGCGTCCCCATCTCGGATTTGCGATCGCAAAAACGCGAGAGAGTGAGCAATTGCTATCGCTTACATCATTTAGAGATAAATAGTACCTAAAAAGAAAAGAAAACAGCGAGAAAACATCAGAATCGCTTAAAGGAAGGGTTGCCTCCAAGAATCCAGGATGGGTACGCCAAAGATGGACGGTGTGTGCAATGGCACACATGATCATATGAAATGAACCGACGGTACATCATTGAAAAGGTGCGCACTGTGTTTCGATGAATGCACTTGGCTTCGAAATGAGAATTTTTACTTTTTGAAAAGGCCGATCGGTAGAAACACGTGCGACGAAAACAACTTACGCTGTGTGTGGCACTCAGACTAAACCTCAAATCAATCCTTCCTCACTCAATGAACTTTGCGTACAACACGATGGCGTGGAGTGAGCCGTGATGGTCGTTCGTTGCGTAAAAGGTCATGTTTTCGCGTGTAATCCGCTGAGGCTGAGAGTTTTTTCTCGAAAAAATTATAAACACAGGATTGAAGTAGCAAAGCATAGCGACGCCCTCTAATCAATATAAGCATTTCGAAAATGGACGCATGCGAAACGCAATGATGCAGATCTTTGAGCGCAAAGAGAGCACGCTTGTAGTCGAATGATGTGACAGCGGCGAAAATGTTGAGAGAAAGGCACTTTTATGTTTACATTCGTAAAATGAGTGAATAGATGGTTTTTTACGGTTTTCGAGAGAGTTTGAAAAAGAGTTTTTATTACATTGTGCAGTGGATGTTTTGATTCAAAAACAAACGGGGCTTTCATTAAGCACTTCTTCCGGTTGGATAGACAGTCAAACATAGAGAACAAAAGAAATCTGATATATAAAGAATCGTTAGCTCAATTCAAAAATCTTCAAATAGCGGGGAACCACGACGAGTTCCGAAGCAAACGCTCTTCCAAATAGCGCCTATGGCCCCGGGCAAACTTCACGCATTTGATCGTCGCGACTGAATCGCGAGGAGACAACTGTTACAACATCATTCCATGCAGATCAACTTGCATTCGGTTGTGATACTTTTCCAGACCGAAATTTTTGAATGTGAAATGAAAATGAATGGAAATCTTGGCGATTTGGTCGCGACGATTAAGTCTCGTGAAGTCTGACCGGGGCCTATAGGTACTGGTTCACTAGTACTTGAAATGAAGCACTGAATGATAACGAAAACGAAGACAAAGAAAAGCAAAGATGAAAACAAAGATTAGGCAACAAGAAATGGAAAAATGACGCGAGCCCACTCTGCCAATCTCGTTTGCCTGCACATCTAACTTTTCTGGTGCGATCAACAATGTCTCGAGCGGGCAACGATATGGCTTCCATTTGGCAGCCACAATACGGCGTTATGAATTAAGGCTGCCTGCTCATAGCATTGATGCGGCCCGCTGACAGAAATCTTGTATTCGCAGCCCCATCGTTTCACGGTCGCTGCCAGCTTAACGGAGTCGCTGCCTCATCGTCGCCTTTTGGCTGCTTTTGTAGGAATGAATGCGCTCTGCAGCTATTTTCTGACTCATGGAAGATTATAGCTGCCCGCTGGTAGCCCGTCGCTGCCCGCTCACCGCCATTCCTACAATGTCGTCGCCCGCTCACTGCCACTTTTGCAGTATCGCCGCCCGCTCAGTGAAACTGCCCTTTATCGCCGCCGGCTGAGAGCCTGTGATTGTCTGAGTTATGATAGGTTGACTGAAAGTAATTTCGCAGCTGTTCTCTATCACCCACTTTTTGATAAAAGCCAATACTTTTTTGCAAAAATGATCTCGCAAACTGTTTCTTATATCCAACTTAGCTTTTGCCTTCGCAGAGTGCCTATAGGCTGCTGCATGACGAAGGCGCAATATCTTCGCGCGCGAATGCGGCTTTATAGCCGCAGAGCACATGAGGTGCGGGATCTACAACGGTGAGGATATGCGCGCGTCGCGTTTGCGCCCGCTCAACTAATATCGCCCTTGCGCCATCGTCGTGCAGCAGCCTTTAGATATATCAGGTAGACTGATAATTTCTTTTACACTTTTTTGTAAAATTTCGAAAAATTTCCGGAAGCTCTCCAGAATCTTCAAACTTGCTGCATATACAGGCAACGACAGGGCGCACACGACCGCATGGCTGATATCCCAAATTACAAATAGTAGCAAGTTTACGTTTGAGCAAAAAACATTTTTTTTCTGAAACCTCGTTTTCAGCTGATCATAACTCCTTTGAAAATTTGTTAATGAAAAAGTAATAGCCTACTTTTTAGACGTAAGTCAATATTACAAACGAAGCCGGAAAAGGCTCGGACGAAAGAGATCTGCAGAAAGAAGAAAATTTAAAAAGCAAAATTTTTGCTTTCTTCATCATTTTCATAGTCTCCAAAGTCCCAAATTATGGAATTTTTGAAATTTCTCGCAATGAACTGCCAAAAATTCTTGCAAAAGCTGTAAAAAGGAGATCCTACCCTTACGCGTACAGGAAGCGAAGTTTGGCAGTTGTTTCTCCAGTACAAATCCATAAACCACAGAATGAATGCAACGACTACCCATGTTTTAAGGTGTCGATATTTCAGCTTAGATGATCTTAGAAATATGTCTAAGTATGCACAATTTAGACAATATCCATTACATAAAGAAGCTGAATTTTCAAAAAATGGCTTCATTGCGCTTGAAGTACGACCGGAAAAGTAAATGCAATGAAATTCTGGTTTCGAGTGCGGTTGTTTGTAGCTCTACAAATTTTAGCAAATGAGGCTAGTAGCGCGTTTCAACCATTATTGAATAGAGCATGAAAAGAGCTTCTTGATGGTGTGATATATTTTTCCAAAGCAGAAAGACTGATGGAGAAAAATTGTCTTGAAATAAGGGTGATAAACGCACATTACTTGTGTACTAACTGCAAAGTTCATTTAGTAAACTTTGGAGAAAAGCCAAAAATTCAGCGTTACAGTGCGCATACCGTACAGAGCCGAAAAGTACGGTAGAGGATACATAAGTAATTGGATTCAGCATCCTGAAAACCTTGTTTGACGGTCACGATTTTTCTCAATTTCTTAGGCAACTGTCTCTTTTCATATTTTTGGGTACAAAAGGGCTTTAGAAATGAGAAGAGTATGGCATGTTACTGTTGAAAGAAAAAGCAGACATTGATTTCCGGACACCTAATAGGTTGGAGCGAAAGTTCTGTTGCACCAGTGGAAATTCATAAAATCTCATTTTCCCAACCGAATTGCTTGTTTTTTTGTTTGATTGAGTAATCATCTTCTCCATAACAGTATTTTGTCGAGTTTCTGATAAGCATACATTACTTACAAGGGAATGGTTAGAAGTCGAAGAGCAAATACAAGCAAGCTGCTCAATACTCGATGCAGCATTCAACGCTGATTTCAAATCTGTATTTCTTCTCTGCTTAGCGCCTCTGTGGACGAAGTTGTGAGCAGTTTTATTGCGGAAAAACCGTACATATATGCTGTGCAATTGAGCATTTTGTGAGGTGAGGTAACCTAAAAATGCAACATTGAGCAATGTTGCATTTTTAGGTCACCTCACCTTTAGCTTCAGGAGTATAAGGTAACCTAGCAACATGCTTTGGCCCAGCATTGAGCAAACTCGCGCGTAGCTTGAAGCATTTCTTAGCAAAATGAGGGCCTTTAGCGGCTTATAGCTTCGTCCACAAAGGCGCTAAACAGATGCGGAATACAGATGTTAGATGGAAGCGGTAAAAAAATTACTCTATTTTTTCCTAAAAAATCTAAAATATGCGACAAAAATCGGAGAAGTTAATATTATTGGTTCTATAATTGCCCTCTCTGACCAAACTAACTTTGTGCTGATTGGGCGGTTTTGAGGAAATTCATTTTTTATCAAAAAATATCCAAAAATCCAAATTTCTATCAATTGCTTATAAATCATAACTTTTCAAAGAAACTATCAGCACAAATGTTGCTTACTTAGTAAAAGCAGATAATAAAATTATAATACCGGCTCATCCGATTTCTGTTGCTAGTTTCTTTAACGACAAAACTTAGAAAAATCAAAATTTGAGTAGTTTTCTCCTCCCATTCTATCTTTGCAATGTATGTTTATTAGGAAGCCTCTGAAAACTGTTGTGAAGAGCATAATCTGCTCTTTTGAGCAGAAATAAAAGCAAGCAAATTGGTTGGAAAATTCAGAAATTATGAGTTTTGGAAAATGGTGCCACAGGACTTTCGTTGCAGTCTAAAATTTTCGTCTTCTGAAATCAAGGATTAGAAATGGGATGGAAAGTTAGCAATGTCGCTTTTCCCGTGTTTTTCGTTTTTTGATGATTCCTATGTAGTGTAGCAATGCTTAGAATTTCATACCTGCATTTCCGAATTGTGTACATGCGAATATCTCAAAAAATACGGTTTTTGATGAAGTCGAATAAAAAACAAAACCTCTTAGGCTTCGTAAACTGTTCATTCTTTGTTACTCTTCTCAAAGAAGGTAGTTTATGTTACAACTAACAAATATCTTTCTTTCTGTCTTTCTCAGTTCTAGAAATATCATGAAGATATCCCTTTGTAATTCCCCTATCCCTAACGATAGTGGAACAAACAATGTATTTTCTAGTTTACTTCTTGTTTTATGTTGCCGCATTTCGTCATATCGCTTCAAAGAACTGCTGAAAAAATTCCCTGAAGTTATGTAAAACTTACAGAAAATAATATATTTTCGGCTTGAAGCAGTATAAAGTGAAACAGGCTCATTCGGCCACAATTTGAGCAGCGATACGCTTCGCATTGATTCGGTAGACTTCTTTGCAAAGTATAATTAGCTCTGGATTTCAAGTTTGAGACCCTTAGGTTTAACGAAGCAAGACTCCAAAATTGTGTAGACTGATACGCAAAAATTTACAAAAAAGAAATGATAATGATAAATAAACCTTTTTTTCGGTCATGTAGAAGACGAACGAACAAGGCAAAGGTGTTGCACTGTCGTTGTCGTTAATGGAATGACAATGACATTCTATGTTGGCATTGATGTAGATTATGCAATCATACTTGTTTTATGCACAGTTTTATGCACAAATAATCTTAATTCTGTGTAAATTATCCCAAACTTTGTCGTCTCTGGACTCCATTGAGCTTTTTGCAATATAGGGACAATTTGTATGTCTCAGTCTTGGTTTGCTCGTGGTTGATATAATGGAATATAATGAATCAAGTAAATTCTTTTCTACTCTATTTGGATCACTACTTTAATAGCTAAGATCAATTGCATATACGAGCAAAATATCGACATTGTTTTTTTCCATATAAGTACCTGCTTGATTAATGAATCCTTACAAACCAAAGATATTTTGAAATACAATATAGTGCTATCCTTTGAAAAAGGATATCTTTGTCACTCGGGAGCATCTAAAACACTACTTGCAGAAAACTTTTGTATTTACTTGATTTCCGTTATGAAGTCTGCTAAAAAATTGAAAGCACTTTTATACAGTGAAGGAAAATAATGGGATATTTGGTCCATAATCTGTTATATGTCAATGATACATGCTAAAAAGCTCATAATTTGCTCAAGAATAATGCTTCGCAGCTAAGGACAGCATAGTTGGAATCAGCGCCTCAAGCTGATTTTGGATATAATCGTCGTTTCCGACCTAGGTTAGATGCCTTTTCTTGTTAGTATTTCAGGTGGATACTCTTAGTCAGATACTTTCCGAATTTTTAAAGCTTCCAAACCTGCGCCCTTGCCTTCATTTACCTCACATTCCAGGGTACCTTGTTACACAGGTTCTTAGAACACAGACTAAATTCTGGACCATTGCATGGCTTGGCCCTTCTTCCCTAATAAACAAAATTGTACAGGTACTCTTAGTCTCAATGCTCTGTCTTTACTTCTCGTTTACAACACTTCCATATTGAAAAGCTTCGGAATGTAGTTTGCATGTAATCCGCGTAAGAGTGAATACAATACAGATCATATGCTGTTAGCAAGAAAGTTTTGATCAAGTTTTTGTTTCGATAGATAGTATAGTTTTTACTGAACATTGTTTTATAGAGAAAAGCAATCTCTACAAAGTTAGAATGAGCACATCACATTTAAAGTGTCCTGTAAGAGTGCAGGCGATTGAATCCAATAAATAGTATTTTGACTCAATAGATCTCCCACTTCTAGGTCAATAACGACGTAGAAGTGAGACGCATACGACGCATACATAAACACCAGTGGCGGTCCCAGGATTTCCGTTTGGGGGGGAGAGAGCAAATTTAGAAAATTGAAGTAGATTTGCGTAGAAAATTGAAGTAGATTTGCGTGCGTCAGCCATGCACTCCAAGAATTTTTTCGGGTTGCGTCGAAAGCAAGCGAGCCCATGACTCCAAACGCAAAAGGAAAGAAGATAATGCAAGGTCAATAGGAATTTTTTAAAATTTTAAAAAATATTTCAATTATTTGTAAGTGATAGGTCGGTGCAAAAATTTTGTCAGTTTTTTCAATCCATCGGCAAACACGTTGAAATGGAGATAAACGAAAACTTCAAAGTGTATGTGATGTAGAATTTCTTCCTCTTTCCAGCCGTAAAACTCGTATTGTGTTTTGTTGAGAGAGTGATGAGATATTCGCTGGAAATTGCAACCATTCATTTTTACCATGTCCAACTTTCACTAATTTTTAAAATTTTTGTATAAGACTTTCGGAGGAGCACTAATAACCACCAGATAGGGCAAACCTTTTGCCAACTTGTGCATTTTTTTCTTTTTTTCAGCTGCTTTTCCAGATTTTTGCTAAATAATTTTCTGAAAGTCTTGTGTTTCGGAAAAATCGCAAAACCTGTTATTGCACCAAACACTGCAAAACCTACAGAATACTGAAGTTTCGAACACTCGGTTACCGCTGCCATCACACAGCAAGTGAGCGATCTTAATTCAAAAGATGAAGTTTTTGGAAACTAGGGTGCAATGTCAATGCGCACTCCTGAAAATGAGAAATACTGCGATTTTCCCCACAAATTTCGCCTATCTCGGCAAAAAAAGAAAAGTGTTAGAAGGAGGAGAAAAAGTTGGATCGAATGGTGAGTAAAGTGTTTGACATTTTGTGTTCTACAAGGTTAAAATAAGCTGAATGTAAAATTTAGTCACTTTAAAAAATAAATCATATAAATTCTGAGAGGCAAGCCATAGGGCTACAGAAAGTTGCTTCTGTTGGCAAAAGGTTTGCCCTATCTGGCGGTTATTAGGGCTTCTCCGAAAGTCTCATACAAAAATTCTGAAAATTAGTGAAAGTTGGACATGGTAAAAACGAATGGTTGCAATTTCCAGCGAATATCTCATCACTCTCTAAACGAAACACAATGGGAGTTTAGCAGTTCTCTGGAAAGAGGAAGAAATTCTGCATCGCATACATTTTGAAGTGTTTGTTTATCTTGATTTAAACGATTTTGCCGATGGATTGAAAAAAACTGAGAAAACTTTTGCACCGACCTAATATAGAAGCAACTCACTGCACATGTTTATACCCCCCTCCCTCTCCAATGATGCGGAACTAGTCCCACTCGCTCGTAGATTTGCTACATGCGAGAGTACAATTTGAATTCTTATGCACTAAGTGAACGCAAACTAATGCCTGTTCCTCTGAAGCGGCAGAGAAGATGTAAAAATGTACAAAATACATTTTCCAATAGAGGAAAACAAGCTCCACAAGAAATTATTTGAACAAACGCAGAAGGTCCCATAAGTGAAAACAAAAGAAAAACAAAAGAAAATCCGGTTTCCGCTTCGATCCTTCCAGTATTCGGGAATTAGATTGAGATACGGTCTTCCCCGAATCTCAGTTGGAGTGAGTGAAAGCCGTAGCATGTGTCTGCGAAAAAATCGAGAAAATTTTGGAATCCAAAAAGCAGATTTTCTTAAAGATCCTGCAAACTTCCAGCTTGGCCAAGCACTTACTATACGCACAAAATATGCATACGTACACTTGCCGTATTTTTTATTAACCGGGAATTGTAAAATGGAAAAAGTCTATAAATTCGAAAGTATCACGTTTGTTGGGTTTTCGACATCATATTTGTTTTCAACACATCCACCACTGATTTTGCTAGAACATGCCGAACTTCATTATCCAACTTCTAGTTATGGAAAAAATATAGAAAGTGTTATGCAAAGCTGATGCGATAAGTAATTTTGTGAGCAAGTTGGAAATATGTATCAGGTTGTCCCAAAAGTAAACCGTATTTTCGCATAAATCAAACTGTTCTTGTTTTTCTGACGGACTTGGGGCACCATGATAAAGCGAAGAAAGCTCTACAAAATGACCACAAAGAACCGTCTAAGTCGCTGGTAAAATTTTGGATGCAAAAATGAAAATTTTTCAGCTACCCTAAAAGTCGGATCTCCTTCCAGAAAATTCCTATGGACTCCCAACATGGTCCTTATATAGTAGACACATAGTAGTATCGAAAAATGTTTTTGTTTGGTTTCTTCCGGAGTTCAAAATTGAGAAACAAAGGGGGTCCCAAAATGCCGAAATGCCACTTTTTTCGGTTTTTTTAAAAGTAAAACTTGGTATTTCTCGGACACAAGAGCACATACAGGGGTAAGTCTTGAAATCATACTTAGTAAGGCTTGTACTATACAATGACATATGTGGGAGGGGCTGAGGGCGGACCTTGCCATTTTTGGATAATTTCTGTTTCTCGTTTTCTATGCTTGGAAAAAATTCGCTAAAGGCATATTTGAGTGCTACTATGTGCCTACTGTATAATGACCAAGTTGGAAATCTGTACGATTCTTTATCAAAGAAATCCAATTTTCAGGTTATAAATTTTTTTCGATTTTGGCTACAAACTTTACATGGAATACTATGTGATTTTTGTTTATTTCTATCCATCACTCTATGTGACCCCCTTTATTGACGCAGCGTGTGGTCCGCCAGTTACGAAATACCGACGAAAAATGAAGTTAATGTTTGGTTTAACGGACAGGGCGCTTCGCAGTCCAATGTGTTCTTTTACCAATCTGAAAACATTGAAAACGCAGTGTATGAGACAACTAGCTCAGCGCCATAGATTTGATCTGAATAACTCCATAATGTTTTTGCACTTCTTATTACTTTGTCAGTAATTACTCAACAATATTATTTTCCTAGCACAGATTTCTTGTTTGACCTTCCTTTATAAATCAACTGTATGATAAAGGATGAAAGGAAATGCGGTTTTCGAGGATTGCGCCAAACGTATTCTGTTACATGATCAATCTCTACTGACTGTGCAGAATCGGAGACTTATGGGGATAGCTGCTTACCAAATCAGTCTTTCATTAAGCGGTCCTAGCAACAACACATACCAATACGCGGCTCATTTCCTCTACAAAAAATTATTAGGAAAAATTTGAAGATTTGCAGAATCAGTCACGAACTTCAGTCAGATGTAAGCTATAAGCAGCAAAGAACATGCTCGTAATTTTTATTATCTGTGATGCTTTTTGTGAAGAAAAAGTGACGAATCACATAAATGTTTGACCCGTGTTAGTAGCACAGAAGATGCAGACATAAAAAGCAGTTGCACATGACTTCAGGTAGATAACTGAATAATTCAAAATACAGTAGATCATTGTTTCGATTGTTCTTCTGAAGGCGATGTATCCTCAACATCTTTAAGTTGAAGTGGTACCATTTTTTTGCGAAACACTATCCACAAAGTGATTATTGTGCACATCTGCGCTACTTCAAGAATCCAAGGCGCCTTTGGCCCAAAACCCGAATACATATAGCTAAAGAAAGTGATTAAAAGTTATAAGAAGATTAGTTTGCAGAATTGACAATCGAACCTAGTGATCAGTGGCGCAAACATCCTCCCTAGAGAACCAGCTAACTGGAAGTATCCTTGAAGAGTTCCCTAAAATGCTTTCCATTGAGAGAGGAAGAAAAGCAAAAAGCTGTCTAGATTACCTGCCGCCGTGGCCCAATTATCTCAGAGTACAAGGTCGTTACTGCAATATTCATAACGGACACAGCAAATCCAAAAACAAGTACGTAGAATATGTAGTAGAGCTAAAATTTTTGCAATTATTTCTTAAAGTTAACAAGCGATCTCCTCAGGCACCATTCATACCCCACGCGATTTCGTTCGCGGTTCTGCAATGACTTATATTTTTCTGTAATCGCACTATCGGTAAACAGGATTTGACGCGCTTGCATCAACTTAAGGTAACTGTGCACATGTGCATTATTTGCTCGCGATGGAGTGCTACCATTTACCAAGTCGCCAATGATAGCAATTTCTCTCGATTGAATGAGGTATGGCCCAAGTCTTAGTAGTAATAAGGATTAATAGAACAATTCGAGTCTTGCATATCAAAGCCACAAACTAATTTGATAAACAGATTTACTCAACGTCGTTAGAATAGAACGTACCCATGGTGACACCTCGGCAAGATTATCGCACCAGTCGAATCGTTCCGAATAACAGCCCCAGTCCGACCCTAAAACACTTTGTATATGATTCGAAAATTGACTGTTTATTTATTGTTGAGTTTGAGTTTTGCTGTGTAAATAAAGATCAAACCGACTCTAACCGTTTACAGATATCTTGACCTTAGTTGTTATGAAAGGCCACGGGTATGTAGTGGCGAATAGACCAGCGTAAGCACTCAAGCACACAATAGCAGCAATTCGAGGATGGACCCTAAAGTTGGCAATGTTCAACTGTTAATACTGTATTTATGTCATTCACCTAAAACAACAAGAGAGTCTAAAGAACTGAATCAGCAAATTCTAACAGCAAGATGAAAAGAAATAGGAGATAAATAGATTTATTTTAAGAAGTGGGCTCATCCATCATAACTTATAATAACGGGCTAAGGTTGTTTACGTGTTTTTGTGTGTGTGTGTGTAAGTTTGTCTGTCTGTCACGAAATTCGTAGGACGTGTTCCAGCCGACCTCCTGAGCCCAAATTTTGCACAGCGCATGCTACCTACATGGGATTCCACTATACAAAAGCACGAGCGGATCCGTTGCGTGGATCCCTCAAAAAATGCGCGTCTAACGGATCCACTTGGCTTTTGGCCAGTAAAATTGAGCGTGTAGCACGACTTTTTGCACAATCAAGAAGATGTTTGACAAGTTATTATGCGAGCCATGGACTTTAGCCTAAAAAATTGAACTAGAGTTTATTACTTCGCGAAAACGGCGCCAAAAAGTATAGGTTGTGTAAATGTTCAATTTGCCAAGATTTTACCCGATCATCTGAGAAGATTTTTGCACAGAGATGTGGCCCAAGTTGATTATTGCATCTTATGGCGAACACCAGGCCGTGAAAAGTCAAAAAACCGATTCAAATCTGTATTTGTATTTTTGGCAAAAGTTTGCTTCATGCGAAATTACCGATCTCATATGAAAAAGCTTTTGGAATGAATAGTTGTTTACAAACTATTCGTGATAGTCCGCATAGCGCGGTGAGTTTCAATGTCATTATTGTGCGGGAATGAGTAAAGCGTACAGTTAGTAGGACCAGTGCGAGCCTCTGCGAAGCAGAGGTGACGCACTGGTATATATATAAAACTCAAAAATTGTCAGTTTGGAGGGTATGTGCGTTATAGAAATGCGCGCCGCTCAACCAATTCAGCTGAAACTTTGCACACATATGTTTTCGACCCCTGCGCAGATGATAGGCTACTTTTTGCGGCGATTCGTTTAGTCCTTCTATCGATTTATTGATTTGTTTACGTTTTTCTAAGGAATTGAAGGCTTATCATGTTCAGTCAAGCATTTTCCCATAATCTGTAAAGGAGGGCGGTGAAGCTCATTTTAACCTCATTGTCACGAGGATGCGGTTTGAAGCGGATATCCCTAGGGTAAGTCATCCATAACATATAAGGGGGGGGGGGGCTTGCAGTGCAAGTGAACGGAACAAGGCCCGGGCTGGACCGGGAAAGCCAACTAGTACTATATAAGTTAGAGCAATAAGGCAACCACACTTTTCCAGGAAGCCCTAGGAATTAATCAGAGATTGACTTCAACATGTTACGAATCTATTTAGACGCAAGGTATGTACATTACATCCAAGGGAGTAAGAAAGAGAGGTCGTGGACTTAAATAAGTTGCCGAAATATGTCAATTGTTACGTTAATGTTGTTCCAGTAAATGAAAGGACACGGCGAGAAGCAACAGCTTTTATTTTGGCTGAGAAACAACTTTATCTTGGCAAGCAAATCTTCATAAAAACTTTTCTTGTTCATGTTATCCATGATTCTTTGAGGGGAAGCAATTCAAAGCTTTTACTATGATTAACAACCACCAGAATTTCCTACTATCAATAAGGAAAAATACGTCTATATGGCTAAACTTCCAAAAGCTCACATATTTGACTCTCTACACTTCGTATTCTGCTGAGATGGATGTAGGGTTGCATAGTTTGATATGTAGAACACAAGTTTTTTCTGTCTAGCATAACACAGTAATTCGTGATTTGCCATGAAAACCTATCTGCGCACTTTAAAAAAATGAATTATCTCTCTTTTCTGCACTTTTTCTATATAAAAATCAATTCTACACAAACAAATTAACGTTTCAATTTTCATCGGATTGCACTTTGCGGTAGTATCATTTTATTGGACAAAAAAATTTTTTTTGCAGCATATGTAGGAGCCGCGAAATCAGATGCGCGCATCGTATCTAAGGAGATGAAGCGAATCGTAGTGCAAAACAATCTTAAAGGTGTACAGAAATGTTTCCAATGGGAGAAGCCGGAACCTTGAATTTGAGAAAGTCTAGCATGACAAATGTTGATTGGTTTTACATTTACAAAAAGCTCGAGATGCAGGCAGCCATCCATGCAGTTCGATTACTAGTGGAAGCCATTTGGAGAAAAGGATTCCGATTTCTTTTGCATTCTGGTTTAGGAAAAGTTTTTAATCGGATACCACGCGGCTGGTCTGGTATGCACGGAGACAAAAGACGTCAGAAGAGTACGTCCACTGAATCAAACTTCTTTATGCGAACACGACAGTCGCCGTAGGCTGTGCAGTAGAAACGTCAACGCCATTCTCAAAAAGTACACATCAACGGCTTTATCACCACTTCTCTTTATATTGTGTATAAATACGGTGGCCAGGAACATTCAACTGCCGCACTTATGGACGCTCCTTTACGCGGAAACGTCGAGCTAGCAAGTAGATCGACGCAGGAGCTTCAAGAGGCAACTGTGAGATGGAAAGTGGGATTAGCCGAATATGGCCCGCGGCTGGAAGAACCGAGTGCCTAGAATGCGGACAACAAACCAACGGTACATTCAGCATAAATGGGTGCTACTGAGAAAGGTCACCACATGCGAATACCTGGGCTCTTTAGTGTCGTCGGAACGCGGAACGATACTGGTGCTATAGGAGAATGTGGCGTGGCTAAAGTGGCAGCAAGTAACAGGAGTACTCTGCGACCGTCAAATTCCAATATAACTGAAGTAGAAAGTATATCAAAACGTTAAAGGCAGTCGCCCTGAACAGCCTATTGTTGGCCAGCAACTAGAAATACGAGCAAATCCTGAGCACGATGGAGATGCGAATGATAAGGTGGATACCCTTAAAGCGAAGAAACTTCGTCACGAACACCAATGTGCGGCCCATTCTCGAAGTTGCACCTATCGCGGATGAGATGCGAGCTGCCAGATTACGACGGTATTGTCACGTTTTACGAAGTGAAGTAATACAGTAGTAGTTTTTACAACATTCCGTCTAGACTGATGGGGGAAAAGCCACGTGACCGACCGAAGCAGCGCTAATTGGACACCATTCGTAGCGACCTGCGCATTGCAAGGCTCAAACCACAAGAAACAGCTGATCGAGTAAAATGGAAACAGAGATGCAACACCGCCGTTCCTGCTTTCGCGGGAAAATGGCGAGGATAAAGAAGAAGAAGAAAAAAGTAGAAGAAGAAAAAGAAGAGAGTTCGAGATGCAGACAAAGAGCAGATACCTGCGTTAATGGTATAGTTTGAGTCTTTTGAACGTCCCTTCCATATCTTGTGTATTGTAGATCATTGCTGAGGTTCATAAGTGGGAACGAGCGGGCGAGTACCCTTTGATTTAACAGGATTAAGGCTGGAAGGCGGGGCTTTGCAACCTTAGACGAGGGAATGATCAGAGAGCACGCTTGTGAGAGACGTCGAGGGCGCAAGCGGTCGCCTTTCAACCTTCAGTCTTTTGAATCGAAGGGTAGTAATACATCAAGATGTAGCGCGTATTTATACTAGGTTGATTCAGAAGTTCTGTCCGATTTGCGATTTTTTCATTTAGAATCCTATAACTTTTTTCAAATCAACAATTTTGAGCAAATCAAATTTTGTTGAATTAAACGACATTATGGCTATCAGAAGAATAGCGAGAGAAGAGAGAGAATTTTTCGAAATCTGCAAGGTTTTCTTCAAAACCGCCCAGTTTGACTTACTAATGCTTCCATATGAGGATGAACAGACATATTTGGCTGCCATCATTGAGTATTCTATACCTCAGAGGTTCTTTTGCGGCTAAAGATCATTCGAATTATCTTTGCTGCATAGAAATTTTTGCGAGCAAATAAAAAAAACATTATTTGAGCACTCCTCAGCGTGTGAAACTATGCCGGCTTTCTAATATTAGGTTGTCTCATAATTGATGCACGTTTCATGAATTTCAACTTCTAATCAAGATAACTCTTTTCCCAAACCATCTTTTTGAGCGCAATAAAAATTACTGCAAACAACAAAGCTTTGACTATAGAACGCATGCTTTTGTTGGATCGCAGCCACTTTAATAAAGATTTTATAGCCTGAAAAATTTCCCAGAATTTTAAACTTATACTTTGAGAGAGCTTAGCTTTCGCTCAAATGTACTAGGATCGCACGCGGTTTGCTCATTATATAGCCAATGGTTGATTGTACAATAGAATGAAGTTTGAACTTAACGGCATATTTCTGTGAGAAAATTTTGCAAAAAAAACTGGAAGTACCCATTTTTTTCAATATTATAGATGATCCAGAAAACTGCCTTTTTGGGATTTTTTGAATTTTTTCTCTTCGAAAAGACGATGGAATGCTGCGATTTTTCTAGCATTAGTTGTACTAGGTCTACTCTACGTGTACATAGCAAAATTTATACAGTCGCTTTTTTCTTGAGATTTTTATGCAGTTTAGATTGGCCTCAGCGACAGCCAAGTTTGAGACAAGATTTCACAACTCGAAATTTTTTAAAAATCCCATACAGACAAGTGTTTTGCAGCACAAAGCTTCGCGATCGTTATGCATATTTTTTGAAGAAAATCCGTCTATTTTCCATAGATTTAGAGCAAGGAGAGTGAAGGGAAAGAATTTCAAATTTTAACCATTCGTCTTTGAAGGCATGGAACTTCGGCTTAATCAAAGATTTGCGAAAATTAAAGCACATATTGGAGACTGGAGGAACCGGGCTTTCCGATACCGTAAAGGGTCTTGAAGAAAAATGTTTTTTCTTTGAAAATCAACTCTCTAAGAGGTTAGAAAACGTGTATTAATCATGAAACAACCTAATATTTTATTTTTTCTTGCTGTCGCAAATGAAAAGCCAATTGGCTGACGGTTCCTGCTTGCACTCGCTTTACTCTAACATACGCAATATTGAATGCTTCACATGTCGCTATTTGTAGATTGTTGTCGCTTGTTGAATAAGTGGGTTTGTCTTCAATCTTTGAAAAAAATTGGAAAAGTAAGACATTCTCTACACCGGAGGAAAACTGCTTATGTTAACCCATTAATTCCTCAACCATTATAAATTACCATATATTTGGTTTTGCGAATACTGCGGAAGTTCCCCTTCATGGAGACTTTTTCTTTGTTCATGACTGCATTTTGGCAATTTTGCTTCGGGGCTCAAAGTTTCATCACAAGTATGTTGATTTACCAGGCCTCAGTAAGCACTAGAAAGAGCAAGAAAAGTATTCTAGGTGACGGTTATGACATTGCCATAAGTGCAAAACCCAAGAAAATAGCTGCATTAAAACAAGGAAATTGAAAATCGGACAGAACTTTTGATCAACCTAGTACAAAAACGTCTGAGCCTAAACATTTAGATTATCCATACGAGTATCACAAATTTGATTTGAATTAAGTGTTTGATGAATTTTTTGGCCGTGGGAGATATACTCTTGAAAGTTAGATCTTCGATGCGCGTTAGCTGTTCTGCTTGTTGAGTACTTAAAGGCAGTAGACAGGCAAAATGGACCCCTGTCAGATTTTGGTAGTTTCGGGTAGTGGACCCCCAATTACACCGTAGCCCCAACCCCAACTTCTAGTTGATGCGCTAAGTCCTGAAAAAAGCGCTTCAAACTTCCACCAATAACGCCCACTCAATGGAAGTGGGCGGGGCTGGTGGAGTTTTGAAGCGCTTTTTTCAGGACTTAGCGCATGAATTGGAATGTGGGGTTGGGGCTACGGTGTACTTGGGAGGTCCACTACCCGAATCTGACAGGGGTCCATTTTGCCTGTCCGCTGCCTTTAAGTGTCAGCATCTGGTCCTTGGGAATACGAAGTTTCCAGTCACACATTCGTTCGCATTCTATACATTCCTATTACTGCACCATATGTGATTTCCATTTTGATACACGGTGATGTGAAAGGTGGATGTATTTATTAGTTAAGGTCAAAAGTGATTTGGTTTAAGTATGGTGTCGCGTAGTCATTACAATAGGTGTCTATAAGTATACATGGTTCAATCGTAACCTCTTCCTACACAGTCTGTTGCTTCGCTTTGATTAACATCAACTGGGGCAAGGTTTCAAGCACGGCCAGTTGCCTTGTACGGAGGAATATTGGCCGGCAATTAGGAAAAAAGAAATACTGGATACTCGGTCTAACGCGAAGAAATCGCGTTCCGAACACAGATGTGCGGCACATTTTTGGAGTTGCACCTATCGCTGATACGATGCGATGTGCCAGACTACGATATATGGTCAATTTTACGAGATGAAGATGACAGTGGCAAAATCAGCACTTGGTCTAGATCCATAGGAAAGAAGACCACGCGGGGCCGACAACGCTGGTTGGACACCATTCGAAGCGACCTGCACATTGTGAACCTCACACCACAAGAAGCAGCTGACCGAGTCAAATGGAAACACAAATGCAACCGCCGAATCCTGCTCCCGCGGGACAATGGCGAGGATAAAGAAGAGATACAGCCGTGTAGAGCATGCAGCATGACAAACACTGGTACTCGGCTTTCTTACCATACAAACTTGCCAGAAAAAAATTCAAAGCTTTCTCCAGAAAATCGCTTTGCCGGTGACGAACAGAAGCTAGACTAGCGTTGAAGACGAGAATTGCGTACAGTACACATCTTTTGAAAGATTCGCGGTGACCGCATTCTTCCCTTTCAATAAAATAAAAAAGTGAGCTGCATAGAAAAACGCTGTTTTCAAGTGAAAACCACAGTCGAAAAAAAAGAGGAAAACGTTAGCGTATATTGTATTAGGTTGTCCGGAAAATAATGTGGCATCCTACCGCAACAGAATGACCACAAAAAAAACAGCAAATGGGGTATCATTTGATAGAGCAAAGCAAGCTCTACAAAACTATTACAAATCTCCGCGGAAATCTTGCTTCAGTTGAAGTTCGAATCCAAAAATCTAAAATATATAGAATTTCAAATACCCAAAAATCGTATCTCTGTTCATAGACGTCTTAGGGATCTCCAATTTTTACAGGGTATTCTCCACACTAAACATTCACGACAAACAAAAATAGGTCAAAATGCGAATAAGTCGCGTTTTTCGGATTTTTTGCAAACATTTCCAATTTTCTCGAAAAGTAGCATTTGTCTAAAGCTAAGAATTCGTGATTGTACTCCTAAAGGTTCATACTACAGAATCATCTACATAAGAGAAGCTTAGGATTGCTTTGGCAGTAGATACGGGTGTCTCATATAGTGACTCCATACGTAAACAAGTTAGGGGTTCCCAGGACTTTTCTGAACGGATATACGATTTTTTTCGTTTTTTAGATCTTTAGTGCCTTATAAAACTTGGCTCCAAGCATCACGCATATCAAACCTGGCACGAAGATTCAAATTTCTTTTTGTAGAGCTTGCTTGCGAGGTAGGTTGATACCCTACTTACTTACTTTCGCACGCATCCTGCTGCGATATTGCATGATAAAATACGATGCGACATTATTTTCCGGACCTAACACTTTTTAGATGGTTGTTGTTTTTAAAGGCCCGGTATACAGCTTTAAATCGCCAATCGCCATTGAAACTTACCAACTTGACAGATTGAAGATAATGAAGAAGAAATACAACGTTGCACCAAGAATTCCGGCTACTAAGTGAGCTGTGGCATTGGTATTTACGGCTTCTTCCTTGTTAAAGCCAAACATCAACATTGAAAATGCAGATCCTAGCCTTAATAACTCCAATGTTAATGCTTAGAAATAACTTTTGATTCAAAAACCAACGTCTCAATGGTTGTTGTTGCAAAGATTTGCACAAATCTGGTCCCTACACAAATTAGTATAGCGATGAGACATGGAGAAGGCAGTTGCTTTGTGACCTAAAATTTGTTTATAGATTGTTGAACTGAGGGAGTAGGAAATCCCTACTTTTGCAGCGTCTGCCTTCAGGACATCATATTTCTCCTTGAAGAAGAAAAATAGAATTAGAAAGCCTATGATATTCATTATAAGAGAGAACAGTGCTGGTGCGTTGTAGAGATTGAGACGATAAAAAGGTAGCACGTAAACCCCGTCAGGTCCAAGTGGCGAAAAGATCAATTGAAATGCTGAAATTGTATGTCACCAACTAGGAAAAAAAGAACGCACCAAAACTTTTTACCTGGTCCTATCAAAGTGCCTGTCGCAATCCCACCGCTCACAAATGCGATGGATCGGGAACGATCCTCCTTCGTTGACGCAGTGGAAACGTAAGCTCTCAAAAGTGCCATATTACCTGAAAAGTTGAATATAACATCCACTAAGGAGACTGCTTTCAATGTAGTGCGTCTTAAAAGTATGTAAGGAGTTTGATTATTATTTCTTAATTTCAGGTTAGCCAACCTATTGCCGCAGGGCTCGGTACGAGCTGGCACCAGGGAAATACAAAAACGAAGTCCTGTTTGACCTTGAAATTTCGTACCAAGTCCTCTTTGATTCTAAATCCTAAACCTTAAAAACCCTAAAAAAGGAGACGGCACAATTTTCGTGTCTTTTCGGCCACAAAAACGATATCCCTTTCGCCTTTTGTCCCAAAAGCGATATCCAGGTTGACCCGGTGCCAGCTCTATTCCTTGTTGACCCTTCTGTGAAGTTGGCTTTAGTAGTTTTAGATAAATCGTTTTTACACTGTAGAATTACGCTAAATCTGAAAAATCCATTAGCAGTCGCTTCATAGCATTGGAAAAACCGTGAAAATTGTATAACAAATTCTTATGCAAGCTGTTTATTTACCTTTGTACGATACTGTGAGGCCTTCAAAAGAGTATTATCACATCTTTTGGGAACATCGAAGGAAAGGGACGACGGAGTAAAAAATTTTTGAAAAAATTTAAAAAACTATCTTTCTTATTATTAATCGAGAGAATAACTGTCATGCAGTGGCGTGCCCTCCCTCCCCCCCCCTCCTCCCCGAGAATAGGCCCGAAATTTTTTGAAATTCACTTACATGGAGTATAAAAATGTGCAAGTGACTTGTTTATTCTTGTAAACAATCAGAATAATTGTTAAAATTTTCAGAAAAAGCCTTCCACCTTTTCAGATTTTAGGAGTTGGAGACCCGCAAAAACTTTGAAAAGCACCTGTAAGAAATTTTCGGAGTGCGTGGATGACCCACGCACCCTCATTTGAAAAAAATTTTTGCCCCCCCCCCCCCGCCGGACGGAAATCCTGGGACCGCCACTGCTGTCATGGGTATACCTAGCCGAACTTTCAGCATTACCCGCACAGTTACAACTTACAGCTAATATTTATTCACACATGTCATCCTACGGAGAATTCTCAAACCGCTTGGAACTACTCCTGAGGCAAAATATGGTCCATCAAAACTCAAAATTACCGTAATCTTACACGACAAAAAGCTATGATTTCTTTGTTGCTACCAAGTTGACAGCCCTTCAGAGTGTCACATGTTCGCCGAAAACCTCAAGGCGAAAGAACTAACAACAATTAAACGTGTGTACAGTTTTGAGGAGCCCTGTGCTGTTAGTGATACAAAGCAAACATGCAATCATTACCTGTTCCACATCCTTGGATAAATCTTGCAACCATCATTACAATGGCTACATTGGAAGGTGAAAAAAACGGTAGTGATAGATATAGGGTATTTCCTGCCATCATAGAGCAAAAACCAGCCAAGAGTGGAATGCGCACCTTAATGTATAATTTTGTGCTTCAAAGCAACATATTTGAACCTAGCAAAACGATTAGACCAAGCAAGCGGAAGATCTTCAGTTTAACATTTTAGAACACTGTCTCTATGAATTCCTCGTGAGAGTTTTTTGCAGATTAAGAAATGGCCAGTAGTCGGAGAGTGGCCAATCCAAAAAACTGCTTACTATTTGATGTAGCTCAAAATGCTGTCTCTGAATTTGTTCTCCGTATCTGCTGAACGCCTATGTAGACAAAGTTTGTGAGCCAACATATTGTAATAAATCGCGGATGCAAATTTGGCTGTAGGGAGTCATGTTTGGTTCAATGCTGGACTGAATGCAAGTAAGTTACTTCATATAGCCCATATTCAATAGTGAGCTAAAAAGGCAATAAAGTGTCTTAGTTTGCTATTTTTGTGTGCGATTTCTTGCTGTAAAACTGCTCGTAACTTTGTATGCAAAACCTTTTGGCAGATTCAAAAGATATATTGGTTCAGCATCCTTTGCTGCATCCAATATATGTTTCTGAGTTTAAAGGCAGTGGCTCGGCAAATCTCAACCTAGTCAAATTTTCGCTTACCTGGGGTTATTCAACATGCTGATCACGAAAATCACCTTAGAGAGCTCGAAAACGGCGAAAATGAGCGTTTTCCAACCCCCTTCCCTCCAAAATTGGACGAGCGGAGCAAGGCTGATGACGCTGAATCGCTGCGGGACCCAGCGGTTATAGCATTGCGGCGGACAGCCTCCAATGGTGAGAAGGAAGTTGCAAACTCGTCCGGGTGCGTGTAGGATTGGCTTGCGCGTGTAAATTTGAGAGCGTTTTTTTCGACAGGGAAGGCATGCTGTGCAACCGGGATTGCATTGTTTTCATACTTGGACGATAAGGAACCTAATGCGTTAAGATTCTAGGTTGTCAAGTTTTGCCGATCCACTGCCTTCGCACCTGTTCTATTCGATTGCTCCAATATCCGAATGAAGGGGCTGATACACACTGACCGAAGCTATAGAGAGCTACAATGTATCCAAACTGTGTTTCCAAGGCATTCGGGTTCAGCTGCAAAGCCATAATATAATGTCAACTTTGTACTTTGTACAAATAATGCATACTTTTCTCAAATAAGGCCACATCGAGCTGAAGTAAATGCTGAATTGAGCGGCTTGAAAGAATGAACAAGCACCGGCTATGTAAACAGATTTCCATGGTGTTGCCGGCTCCTCTGATTGAACTTTATGACAAGTCGTGCCATTTGCAGAATCCTGAACAAGACAGATCTAGTGTTTGTGGGAAGCTCCCTTTTCCTGCACTCTGGAGAACTAGACATGATCAGTTAGTTTCTCCTTTACTTTTCCATGCTCTCGTCCTCCAATTTGATCAAGCTTGTGTAATTTGAATAGTACCAAATGCATACTTCATATACGCTGCTGCATGACGAAGGCGCAATATCTTTGGCTCCCGCCAGAGTGCCGAAGCCACGCCAGCGCTGCGCCGGCGCCGAGCCAGCGCCGAGATCAATAGTCATTGCATCTACCTGGCTGAAAACTAGGTCAGCTAGCCCCGCCCCAAAGAAATATACGTGTATCGATCGAAACGCTGGCTCGGCGCCGGCGTAGCGCTGGCGTGGCTTCGGCACTCTGGCAGGGGCCTTTGGGCGCGAACGCGGCTTTATTAGCCGCAGGCATGAGGTGCAAAATATACAACGTTGAGGGTACGCTAGCGCTGCGTTCGCTCCCGCTTAACTAATACTGTTTCGCGCCTTCGTTCTGCAGTGGCCTTTACTTTTACGGCCACCCTCTACATTCCTTCTTTGGGCTTTATACTGTTCCAGTACTAGTGTCGTGCCAAGAGCCCCGTGGATACTGTACTTGATCAATCGACCGACCTCCAGCACCGTTTTTTTCGCACTAGTAGGGGCTGGAACGGTTTTAGAACGCTGATAAGATCAACTTTGAGCGCATATTTAAATGAAGGATACAAAAATGGTATTAGTAGTTAATGCGTGTCATTAGATGACAAAAAATGTTCATTCCGGATAGCTAACAATTGTTGAGCAATTTTCCGGAAAAAATGAGGTACCCTATTTTCAAGTGTATAAGCCGCATCCTTTTCGCTCTAAATGCGAGTAGACCCAGGCGTGCCGCTGCGCATGTGTCTCGCAAAGCGGCCGCTTTCTCGCACATTGCTCTCACATAACGCACCCCATGGTAACAGGTCTTTTGGCGTGTTAGCCTTTAGAGCAAACAGAGTGCGGCTTATACAGAAAATAGGTTACTTCTTCGCCATAAAATTTATAATTGAGCAAGTGTAAATTATGAATATTGATCCATTTCTTGTTCCGCTTCGCAAAATATCTAGAAAGGAACAGCACTGCGCTTGGATGGCATGTCTAAATTCGGCCAAAAGTTAATTTGATTGTCATTGATTCTGGCTATGCTTTACCTTGAAAAAACTTGCATATTCTAGTGAGCGGATAGTGAGCGGATTAGAAATCAAGCTTCCAACAAACATTCCCGTCACGAAACTTTTTATCACAAAAACCGGCTACGGTTAAGTGTCATTTCCCTGTTAGATGTTCAAATCCCAATTTTTCAACTTCCCAACTATTTCAAAATAATTGCTCACTTTGTAGTTTGTTTTAAAATGCCATGAACCATTTCCGTGGTTTGTAGGCCAAATATAACACAAGACGCATGAAAAATAAATATAGCGAGTTCAGATTTGTCTACTAAAAAAACGTTCACTTACTCTATATTTAGATCAAAATAGATCACAAAACGAAGGTCTTTGAGACTTTTAAGAATCTCCGGTCATTGTCGCTTACATACGAGATTTATTTCTTACTAGAACAAATTAGAAATCCTTTCGCTTGAAAAGACTGAAAAATGCAGTGATCTTCTTCTTGCTAGAAATACAGTCACAAGGTTTGACGTTCGAATTATTATGTCATAAATTGGGTGTCATCAAAGCTCTTAGGCTTTCTACGTTTAGTTTATAACCAATTCAGCCTATTTTGCATTATAGGGAGAATAATGTAATGCGATGGCGCATATGTAGCCAAGAGATATATGAAAACGTCAAAATTTCTATCACATTTGAATAGCAAACGATTCGATTTTCGATAATTGAATTGACTAACGGGTTTCAAGTTGTGATCTTTTTGTACAATTTCAATCGCATAAGCTCAACTTTCAAGCGTTGAGAAAAATGGATCAGCTCAATTACGAAGTAAGATGAAAATTCGAATTCTTGATTTTCTAGTATTCGTTAGAAATAACAGTCTTACGCTGTTTCGCAAAACATGGAGAATATTAGTCACAATAGCTGTATATGTACATGGAAAGCAAAGTTAGCGAAAACATGAATAATGAAAAGTATAAGAAATTGTAGCAACAAGTACACCGCAAAAAGATGGTTCAAAAACAGTTAGATAACGAGGAAGCGGAAAAAAATCAAAAGAATTTCCTCGATGTGGTTCAGTTACCCAAGTCAGACTTTCCCTATCTTTTCCCATCAATCAAAGGAACGAAATTAGAATAAGAATTGGATTGAACAAAGGCCAAGGTTAGTTCCATGTTTACTCCCGAGGACTCTCAACTTTCGTCTACTGGCAGGAAATAAAGGGAAAATTTTTGAGTTTTGCTTTTTCACTATACTTTTTTTCTTATTGCCCATGACCTAACACTCTGATATGCTGGATAAGTGTTGAAATTGGAAACTTTGGTGTAACAAAACTTCGTAAAGATTTTTAATGGCTAACCTTTACTCTGACCATGGCGCAGACAAGCGAGTAAAAGAGTAACAAGCGTAAGTGGTTATTGATGTTAGATTAGTAGTACTGGTTTGTTAAGGTAGCGTCAGCGTAGATTATGTAAATAGTATTTATTCGGGAATACTCCCTGAAATAATCGTATGGAAAGTCCATTCAGAAATTTTTTCAAGTATCGAAGATTGTGATCCTAGACGGATAGAAGGTTCAAGCCCAATGTGACAATGTGCATGCCCGCAGAAAACAAGATATGTTCTATAATATTTTGAGAACGGAATGAGGAAGAACATAAGCGCGCTTGTGATAGGGAGAAAAAAAAGCAAATTGGAATTCGCAGACAATTAAGGGTGTCAAAAATATCCAACTACTTAAAAACCAGCACCTCTCCTTCCTCAAAGTCTTCCGCCGTCCTTTAGGCACTATAATTTAGAGCCAGCCTTAAGCTAAATTTGCAATGTGGACGAACACCGATCGCTCTTCGTTACTTTAGGATAACGGTCAATTTGGAAAGTTTTCCATCACTGATAACCAAATCTTGCGCCAAAAAAAAAACAAAGAGCTGATGATCATGTTAACAACTGTGTAGACTGGGATCGCTGAACTCAAGTTTAGGCATCGAAAAACACTACCGACTTTTTCAAAGTTCCACTAGGTGCCAAGTACCTGCTAGGTACCTAAAAACAGTAATCTAGAATTACAAAAACTTGATCATATATCAAAACCGCTTCGTAGAGCTGTACAAAGTTACATGCTTATGTTTCAGGGCTACAACTCGGCCAAACGGGTGGGACGTTTCTTAGGACACCCTATTTATTTCATGTATTCAAATCACAATAATGTTTGTAGAATAAGTACCCTGATTTACATGCAAAATCGATCGCTGCCAAAAAAGCTGTGATTAGCAGCTCACAAGGGAAAGAGTTTTTTTCATGGATAAATGTTTGGTGCAATACATTGGTCAATTTTTTGATAAGTGATCTTGTGCAGCTACAAAGGTGAAGGTTCGAGATTTTGATCGAAAAACTACGAATTTCCCCGATAATAGAAACAAAGTTCGAAAATAGGAGATGAGCATATAGATGGAGGGCGAATCTACACAGGAGATGGGTCATTCGTGGTGGAATGCAGAGTTTTGATTTGAACGATTAAGCAAATTTTTGAGAATGAAAACTGCTAAGGATCCCATAAATAGCGGAAACGATTGACTACTCAGAAAGAATCATAAAAAATACGTAAATTACACTGGAAAAAGTCCTATGGATTTTTAGATACTTCCTAAACCCTGTCCCTAAACGATCTAATTTTTTGATTTACTAAAGCGGTAATTTTTTACATAGCAATAACAAGAGTTTTTTGTTTCTAAAAAATGGTGCTGGTATCAGCAAGCTAACTTAGGCGAGCTAAAAGAGAAGTTGTCTAGCAATCAGAAGAATTGGACATGTCATTTGTAAAATTGATTTTATGGTGAGGATAAAGAATTTTATGATCACGTAGCTGTTCGATTTGTTTGGTGGAATGAATGACCAGCAGATCGTTAGATCATGTACAACAATAATAAGTTATAAAGGCCATTTCGTAAACTTATTTGTTTTTCAGGCAGAATTGCTAATAAAAAATCTAGAAGTATTGAGTGAAGCATTATTTCGTCTTTTTTATACAGAGTGTCCCAAAAAATGTGAACGCTGTTTGATCGTTAATAACTTTCTTGCTTTCATGTCTTTCGCCGAGCTTGAGGAGCCCTTCTGTAGAGAGAGGTCCAGGCTCAAAGCATGCAAAGAAGTTCCGATCTTTATTCGTTACTGTAAAATTACGGTACAAACTTTGAGATGCATTTTGAGAAAGTGAAAGCGATTTTTGCCTCAAAAAGAAAGCCAAACAATCCAGAAACTCTTGTATGGACTAATCGAAGTCGCCGATTCTATACATGATCTTTGCACTTTACTGTGATGCTTCCTTCATAAGCTATTTTGTTTTGACGTAACATTTGCTTTTCCAGTGTTCATCAGAAGTCCGATTACGCCATTAATAGAGCTCAAAAAACAGAAAAAACTTACTACACAAATTTCCAGATTTTTTGAAGTTTTTTTTTCCAATAAAAAACCTATTCCACAGTGGCGCAATATGCTGAAAGCTTATACCGTAATCCTACAGTAACGAAGAAAGATTTCAGGCTGAAAATCTAAATTGAACCTCGCTCTACAGAATAGTACTTCAAGCTCGGTGAAAGACATGAAAGCAAGAAAGTTATTGACGATCAAACAGTGTTCACATTTTTTTGGGACACCCTGTAGATAAGTTGAAAAAAATATGTCACCAGCGTCAAGATAACTACAAAACTCGGAACGTCATTTTCACGTTAATTCACGTTTCCATTTAATAATCATATATTTTTACGCGGAAACAAAACTGGGTAGGAAAGAATCATTCCAAAACAGGAATCTTGCTATTTTTGACCCCTCTGCAGGTTTTTCTCTAAGAAATCGGCTCCTTTGTAGCAATTTGGGACACCCGTGATGAGCCTCCCTTTATGCAAGCTAAACAAACCCTCCAGATTCACTCTTTTTAGATGAAACTTGGGAAAGGAAATAAAAAAGTTTAGAGTATTAATGATTCAAATGTATTGAGTCCAGCAGAAGAGTTCACAATTGTTGAAGAATCGCTTGAAAACACTCATCACCAGGGTCAAGCAAGGGGTGTGGCACACGATCGCTGGTTACAACCCCCCCTCCTGATTGCTGCCTTAAAAGACCCCCCCCTGAACTACACACTTAAGATAGCATTACTTGAAGGCCCTCTCAAACATAATGGGCAACATATCCATAATTAGCATGTCAAATAACCCCTGTAGACAAAGTTTGAGCGAATTCTGAAGATTCAAGATACTAGGCTACCTAAGTGAAATGGTCAAATTCCAACATGGTTAACTTTGTTTCAAAGGTGAATTAGCTATCCGTTTTTGCACTCAAGACAAAGCACTACTCCTTCTTTGTCCATCTCAGGAATCCCGCTTCAGAAGACCTCCAAACTGTGGAATTGGAAGCCAACCAAAATCTCGTTTTCCCCATTTTTCGCTTTTGATCGCTGTGCTTTCACCAAATATTACTCAGAGCTAAGAAGACGAATCAGGCTCCAAACAGTCCTATGGAATACACAAGGTTTAGGCTATCGATTCATGTAAATAATGTCCGCTAAAAATGTTTTTTTGATATAGTTAATGGGGTGCGGCACACCCCCTCAAAAGCTGCGGCTGCCGCAGCTTTTAAGGGGGTGGGCCGCACCCCATTAACTATATCATAAAAACATTTTTAGCAAACCTTGTTTACATGGATCGATAGCCTAGAATCTCCTAGTTTTCACAGGAGTGATTTGAGCCTGATTTGTTTTCTCTGCTCTGAGTAACATTTGGTGAAAGCACAGCCATCAAAAGCGGAAAATGGGAAAAATTAGATCTTAGTTGGCTTCTAATTCCACAGTTTGGAGGTCTTTTGAAGCGGGATTTCTGAGATGAACAAAGAAGGAGTAGTGCTTTGTCTTGAGTGCAAAAACGGATAGCTAATTCACCTTTGAAACAAAGTTAGCCATGTTGGAATATGACCATTTCACTTAGGTAGCCTAGTATCTTGAATCTTCAGAATTCGCTCAAACTTTGTCTACAGGGGTTAATTGACATGCTATGGATTTGATACGAATATCATGTTATCACTATTATCAGATTACCCAATTACGACCCCCTCCCCTTTTGACTCCTCAATACGACCCCCGAAGTGTGGCGTGCCGCACCCCACACTTGGCCCTGCTCATCATGAACATGGCCTGCTCTCATGAATGAGCGATATGGATTTCAAACGATTAGCGAGAATATTTTTCCAATCCGGAATTTTATTTAAAAAGGATATTGCTTTTTTCTTATATCAAATTTGGTGAGAACTTCACAGGATGGAGGGTCAATCTCCTGCCACGTGTCAAAAAATTGACATGTCTCTACATGTCTAACAGGTCTCAACAAGAGTTTGTTTAGCCTACCTAACTATGCAAGTTTAATCTGTTTTTTTACCTCATATGACCCCATTTTTTGTCAACCGTTTTATTAATGAGCTGTAGTATTATAAAAATTGACATCCTGAGTTTGATAAATACATTAGGTTTCCCCAAAACAGAAAAGGAGCTGTTGTTCTATTATTGTTTTATCATCTAAACGACGAAACAACTCGGCAGCCAGGCACTTAATGGCCTCATTTATAATCTTTCCCGGCTGAATTTGCATGGCAGAAACAATGTAAAGGAGCAGTAAAGCATTGCTGAAGGCTATCAATATGTTTTGATAAACGTTAAAAAATGTTTCGATTCTATGAACAGCTTTTCAGTCATTTCAAAGGCTTTCGTACCTCGCAGGAAATGATTTTGAAAAAACATGTCAAATCAGCCTTAAACGTGTTAATTTTTATCTTAACATGTGGCAAGGAGTAAAGTCCTCACAAGATCTGCGGGAAAAAATTTTCTAGCCTGAAACACGTATTTTATGGGAACATTTGAAAAAATGGGTCTGGATAACGGAAAAGTACCGCGAAAAGTCCAGAGAGTCAAAATTGCAGCTTTTTCTAAAAACATGACTTTTTACAAGACATTCGATAGACGTATATCTTGTTCACAAGGAAATGGTCAGAAATCGAACTGGCCAATGCAAACAAGCTGCATACCATTAGATGCCTCATAAAATGCTGACTTGGAATCTGTATTGCACATTTGCTTAGCGCTTAAGTGGGCGAAGTTGTAAGCCGTTGAATGCCGTTATTTTGCTAAGAAATCGTGCATGGAAGCGCAAATTTTTGCAGTACAGAGAGACACGTTCGGCTTAAAGACACTGCCTGGGTCAACTGGGGAGTATTGGAATCTTGACACAGTATGAGAGCATGGCTCCTGAATAACGCAACACTTCGAGTCCAATCGAAAAGGTGAAATGTGAAGTGAGAAAATTGCTTCGGAAAAAAGGGGCGGTGCTTCAGTCCCGCCCCCTTGACAAGTTTTGACGCGGCCAATTCAGTAGATCTAGAGCATTCGCCGCGTCAAAACTTGTCAAGGGGGCGGGACTGAAGTACCGCCCCTTTTTTTAAGCAATTTTCTCGTTTCAAATATCAAGTTTTTCGATCGGACTTGAACTGTTGAGCTAGTCAGGAGCCAAGCTCTCACACTGCGTCAAGATCCCAATACCCCCCAGAGACCTGGACAATGCCTTTAATGCTGTGCCAAAATATGCAGTTAGGTTGCTTTATACTCTTAGAGCCTAAAGGTGAGCTGAAAGTGCAACAATGTGCGAATTTCATGCACGATTTTTTCGCAATAAAACTACTCATAACTTCGTCCACAAAGGAGCTAAGCAGATATGGAATACAGATTCGAAATCGAATTGAACGCTGTATCGAATAAAAGGCAGTTTGTTTGGATTGGACACTTCGTCTTCTGGCCATTCCTTTGTCAGCTAAAAAGAGTAACTCAACTTTATGGCGCCACTAGAAACTGCAGATTTTATCCTTTGCAATAAAATATTAGGTTGAACACTAAGTTTTGCAATTTTTCTCATAACTTCTCTCTCACTCAACATGGTGCACTCAAATTTTGCCAATGTGTTGGCTATTATGTATACTACAAGCGCAGCTGCTGTCCTACCAAATTCTGACGTCGCAGTGAGAGTTACGGTAGGTGTATGGTATGAAGGGGAAAAATTCAAAGTTTGACGGATTTGGCTGAAACTTGGCATAGGGGTGTTATCCGACATGCTGATCACGAAAACGATGGTGAAATTGCGTGATAAGAGCTTTTTTGTAGGATTACTGTAGGTGTACGATATGGGGTCTCACCCTAAACAAGGAAAAAGGCGTTGATTCAACAAATGAACATGATATTCGCATTCGGCAGGTCAAATAACCTTACTATGTGAAGTCTCGGCGGAATTTGAGCTTCGGACTCTTTAGTCATTGACTGTCGTCCCCAGCAGCTCTTGCGTACATCGACTCGTTCGACTTTATGAGGACGTCAAATCTCGACATGCCCATAAATTTTTGTTTTTTTCTTGCTAGGCCAAAGGAGGCAACCTCTTGCAATAATTTGTAGACGAATCCGGATTACTGCGCATGGTCTAGGCTGCCAAAGGCTTCATTTTAGCTTGAAACCTCAAAAATTCTCAAATTTTACTAGTTTTCGAAAAATGCCTGAAACTTTTCTATTTCTTGTTCAAAATTCAGACAATTTGTGCTCACTTGTAGCTCACATTGCATTCTACATGATGCCAAAGTTTGAGTGCGCCATGTTGAATGAGAGTGAAGTTATGAAACAAGTTGCAAAACTTAGTGTTCAACCTAATATATTTCAAACAAAACCATTGGAATAGGATAAAGTTATAATTTTCAAGACTGGTGCAAACAAAGCTTTCACTTCAACCCAATACGACAAAATAACAGTTTATTCCGAAAGTCGATTATTGTTGGACTCGACGTCCACACTTTCAGAAGAAATCTTCATGAAACCTAAAATTAGGGAAGAGATTAGCTCTAGATAACAGTTTTCAGTGATACCAAGAAAACTTTGACATAAGTGCTTGCCAAAAAAGGAGGTGCAAGATCAAAGCACAATGATTCAGTGGAGTTCATGCACAATCCACTTCGTCGAATACTTAAAAGGCATTGAAAACAATGCTAATGACACAAAAGCGAACGGTAATGGATGTTATGGTGAAGAATGACTAGTCCTCTGATTTTCGCGCTGATGTCATTTTCAGTTTTTTTCCCCAAAGATGATGACATTTACATGAAAGATTCTCACTCAACTAAATTAACTGGCTTTGTTCATCACAATTGCCCTGGTTTGGTCCAAAATGACAATTACCACTTTGAGTCTTGGAAAATAAGGATTCTAAAAACTAAAAACGAGGGACGAGTGGCGTAGTGGTATGAGACGATGATATGACCAGATCGGACCCAGGTTCGACACCACCCCTAAGCCAACCAAGCCCTCTATCCTCCGGGGTACCGGTAAATTTGGTACCAGAGTAATCTGGTAAATGGTCCATGCAAGTCCACTGTAAAAGGCTCGCACGCACTTATTAGGCTCTTCGACAACAGAGTGCGTCCAGCGCATGCCCGCAGAAAAAGCGCTGACTTTACCCTTTCAAAAAAAAACTAAAAAATTCCCAAACTCGCTCCCGTTTGAAAAGTCTCCATTGAATCACCGCGACGAAACTGTCGCAGCTTGGAACAGAGCGGTTCTTTTTTTACTTCTCAGTTGTATTTCTCAACGAAGACGGTAAGGTGACAAAACCGTCGCATACCCATGACGTTCCATAAACATACTCTTCAGATTTTTGAGATGTTTACGCAATTTCGCACTTATTGATTCAAAGACACAACTGAGAATGTGTGGAAACATAACTTCAGCTGAGTTCCACATGCAACGGTTTTTTTTGTCTTTCGACTCAATACTTTGAATGCCAGTGAATTTGAAAATATTCAAAATTTTCCAGTCTTCTCATCACTGCCTCCCAAGATGATACTTTATCTTCTAAAAATACGTACGTTTTGAACTGACTGGCGGGGACGCGTCAGTTTTGCCACGTCAAATGCCGTAATCATTTTTCAGGGCTCACGGGCTTTATTTTACTGGCAAGATTTGAATTATGATGGTGGCCAAGAATATTAACATTCAAAAGTCTTCGTATCCAATTTTTCAATAAATTAAATTTCAATCAATTCATCTAGAATTTGGCAAGTACCTTTATTACTAGCCTAATCATTGATCAAGATCAATCCCTATTTCGCTGGACTCAGCTTGAACAAAATCAAAAAATTCCCGAAAAAATGAAGGTTAGCAAAAATTTAGGCTTACTTTTTGGCTATTGAGGTATTAGGTTGACGTAAAATTTCTGTATGTTTTTCTGCTTGTTTCTAAGAAATTCCACAGTTTCTTAGAAATTTTAAAATTTGCTTTGTACGTAGGCGGTGGCCGAAAATATCCACCGGCATGACAGATACCGCAAATGCACACACAAACAGCAAGTTCACGACAGCTACACTAAACAAAATGCCGCTTTTTTTGCTGAATTTTTTTACACCACTTCTTGTCATTTTCTCTTCGAAATTTCTAAGAATTTATTCGGCACTGCTGTCTGATGCAATTGATTTTGATTTTAAAAGGTGAACAAATATTTTAAAAATTTTGAAGTTGCAAGAAATTCTTTACGCGCATTCTTGTGAGATGATACAGAAATATTAGAGACAGTTTGAAGGAGATTTTCAGAGGAAGTTTTTGGACAAAATGCCAAAAATGGCGTTAAGTGGATATTCATCATCCATTTCCACCTTCTTGTTGATACAGCTTCGAAGTGGGAAACACTAAAGAACTATTATTTTAGTAAGTATCATTGGCGCTATTCGGCTATCCTGGCCCCAAGAACTTTTCCTCAAGGATTTTGCTAAAATTTGGCCCAAGGACGTTATTTAGGCCGCTGATCACAGATATCGTACTGGTTTTTGTATGGTTAGCGTCATTTTGCGGCGGTTACGGTGGGTACATGATAAGGGGCCAAAATCGTGAATTTCTGTCAAAATCGGTGTAGGGGGTTATTCGACCCGCTGATGTCGAATATCATACTGGTTTTGTACGGTTGCGCCATTTTCTGGGGTTACGGTGGGTATACGGAGGGGGTCAAATCGTGGATTTGCCTGAAACTTGGCCCAGGGGGATAATTTAACATGCTGATTACGAATATCTTGTTTTTACCTCATGAAGGCGTTTTTCTGTGTGGAAGTAGGCATATAGGCATACGATATGGCGTACGGTACGCGGCAATTCTTCCTCCCCTGTGTTTGCTTAGGTAAAGCCGCCGCAGAGTGCGTCGCGCGCGGCGATGGTCCTGTCTGAAAGGCATGACGGTAGGGCGAGTCGGTCTACACCAAACACAAAGTTTCAGGCAAATTTGCCATTTTTGGCTCCTACCGTAAACTAACAGCAACTTCATAAAAAGGCCTCATCATGTGAAAAGAGTATGATCCTCGTAATTAGCATGTTGAATAGCCCCTAAGCCAAGTTTTAGTGCAATCCAAGATTTTGACTTCTACCGTATACCCACCGTAGCCCCAGAAAATGACGCTATCGTACGAAATAAATATGATATTCGGCATCAGCGGGCCGAATAACCCCCCAGGCCAAATTTCAGCGAAGTCCGTGATTTCGGCCCCCTACCGTATACCACCGTGACCGCACAGGGAGGCGCCCTCGCGCGGAAAAAAACGTGCTATTCGTAATCAGCATGCCAGATAACCCCCCCCCCTGAGCCAAGTTTTAGCAAAATCTGTAGCAAAAAAATTTGGGGCCCGGATAGCCGAAATAGCGTCGTATCATTCAGAAAAATGCTTTTTAGCTCAAACTTCCTGATTGTAACTGTCAACCGCAGTTCTCAATGACTCCTTATCTTGTCAGTACATAGTAGTCGTGCATTGTACTATCATTTTATGCTTCAAAAAATTTTCAACAACAACTGTGGATCCATAGTTGAATGTTATTCAGAATGAAGGTGGAGATTTTCCTGGCTCTACTCCTCCCAGGAAGATTTTCTAATGCATAATTATTGCAGACAAATTGACAGATTTACATTAAAAACATTGCACTTTAAGCCGTCCTACACTCTTCAATTACCTTTTTCAGCGGTTATATCGCACTGATTCTTCCATATCTCGGAAATCGTCAAAAATTTGACCTTTCGTTACCTTGTGTAAATTAGCTGATCTTTTAGATGTTCATCATAAAGTTCTTATGGGAACTCGCAAATTTTCTGCACGTCTTCTTCAAATGAGCCTATAGGGTCTTTTTCGAAATGACTTTCTCGGAAGTGCTTCATTTTTAGGAAATTGCACGAAACAAAATGCATCAAATCGCTAAAAACTCTTGTAGGAGTTTCAAAACTCGAGTACTATCAAACCATATTTTTGCAAAAAAAATTGAGCGTTCTCCGTTTTCGAACCCATGATTGAAAGCCCTCGCACAAATCTATGTCCTGCAGAACTAAAGGGGTTGAAACTACAAGTTCTCAAAATTCCTGCGTTCATTCTAGCATTATATGAAGATTCATTTGGAAATTACAACCGGTGGAAAGATAAAGAAGTAGGTTTCATACCGTTAACCAGCCCCTATGAACGTTCTAGGGCCCCTATGAACGTACCAGCCCCTATGAACGTTCTAGATTCAAGGATAAATAAGGAAAAAAGTTATTAACAATTTTGATTTTTCCAATTACAAAAATAACAGCCCAATGAATTTGCCTCAAAAGAGTTGAATTTGAGAGTTTATCTGGCTTCTTAAAAAAAATAGGCGAGCAGTCTGTAATGCTTAGTTCTCATGCGTTATTTGAGGTTACTGTGAAACTTACCGCATTTTTAAATACATATTCAATTTTGGAAGTAAGATTTATTTTCAGATTACTATCAACACAGAACATTATTCGCTATTAGCACTGAGCGCAGAAAATGGCGAAAAATTTGAAGATAAAAGCGAAATGTTTTTTAAAACAAGTTTGTTTTTATTTTTTTTATCTTCACAGGTAAAGAATTTTGAATGGGGTTTTTGATGGGAGAACCAGGGCTCGACACAGGTGCTTATAAGCAAGCTGGATATCGTTTTTGAGGCCGAAAAGACAAAATTGTGAAGTTGTTTTAGTCGACGTTTCGTTTTTGAGGGTTTTTGAGGTTTAGGATTTAGGGTCAAAGGCGACTTTGTTTTTTGCAATTTTAAAAACCACCTCGTGCCGAGCCCCGCCTCGACAGACATAACCAGGAATTTTCTTGACATTAGCGATTAAGATATAATAAAGAAGATACAGGTTCATTTACTGTGAGTGAAGAGGAGTTAGGAAAGGAGAGAAATGCTCCACAAGCAGTGTTGGAAATCTTCTATCAAAGAAATTTATTAGGCAAAAAACTAAAAACGTTAATTAAGCTAATTGCGATGAAATAAAAAAAACCCGAGAACATCAAAGGAATTTTGTCAGCTAATATTGTGTACGTTATCAGTACTACCGGCATCTATTTGTATCTGTCTGTATCTGTCGTAAAATGTTGAAAGCTGTTTTTCAGTGCTAAAAAACCTTTTAGACAACAATACCTACTTTTTCGCTGTCCAGCGGTCGCTCAGTCAAGCTGACTGCTTCGTATTTTTCTCGCATTCCTGGCCTGCAAAGCGAAACGAGTGAGGAGCAACTATCGATTGGGGGCAAAATGTTTGTTAAGCTGGGGTAGCTAATTCTATGGAAAACTGTCACTTCGGATATATAAACAAAGCATACGAAGTGTTTCTGGCAATTTCTATGGCAAAATGGAAAGATTAATAGTAAAAATGAGGAATAAGATAAAAAAAAACAAATTTCTCAAGCTTGGCATGCAAAATATTCTTTCCGAATAAAAATTTTCCGCAGCAATAAACAATATTTCAGCTTCTACTGATATGAATGAAATTTTAAATAATGAAATATCATAATTTTCAAAGATCACCTGTTAATGAGTGTTTGAGCAGCTCTCTCGAGAGATGACACAGCGCAAAAGCTGCAACGGATGGTCTCTGATCCGTTGTTAGCTGTTTTGTTCTGGAAACGTCCGAGTTGCTATGCGCGCTGCAGCGAATTGAGTGTTCTCTGAAAATATTGGAGCTTATAGCAAAATACGAAACGTTATTCTATTTCGAGTAAATGCCAAGGTCTATGCTAAGCATTATTGAGAATTAGTGTTTTGAAGCTGTGGTTTCTTTTGCAAGAACTCTAAACAAATTTATGAGAAGCTTTCAAAAAATTGTTTACAGAGGAGGCTTTTTTTCGTCGAAGGGACGAAGTGGTTTTTCCAAATGAGTTTTATACTTTATTGAAGAGTATCAAACACTGATTTCAAATATGTTCTCAAAATCTGCCAAGGCTCTGGAAGATCTTGGTAGGAGTAGTTTTTGGAGCGAAATTGAACGCAGAAAAGAAGGTAAAATAAACTGTTACTGTCTTTTAGCGCTCAAATAGAGCAGTTTTGGATATGAGTGTATAAGAAACATTCAGTTTAAGGCAGAGTCCCCGCCAATTGCATTTCCATCTTTTTGGATGTTTTGGACCTTTTCGACCCGTAGAGCCCGAATTTGAGCTTAAAAAGGATGAAGAGACCTTTTTTGGGCATTTACAAAATTTCCAAAAGGCAGCTCGGACGAGAACTTCAATGGAAAGTTGGGGGCCCTGGCACGAAGACCCTGCTGCCTGTAATTTTTGCTTTGGATAGCGTGCACAACGCGAGAGAGCGTTCGTGGGGTCCCGCGTCGATTGGTGAGCGAAGTCGTCCGAGCGTCCCGATTGGGGTTGCGCGAGCCGGTTCAAGGGCTATTTTCTCGGCCAAGGGGGAACATCAACCAGCCGAACTGCGCCCGGAGAGTAGGATGACCGAGAACTCCACCTTAGCAACATCCTCCAAAGTGCGAATCTGCGCGACACTGCCTTTTATCCAAACCAAAAAAACGCTTATTTGGCGTTCAGAGGCATTTGGCAGAAAACGAAAACAGTTTTGGAATCATTAAGATCGATGTCTTGTAGCCAACGCCGGGATTGTTACAAACGTTTGTAACTTTATTGGCTAACGTTTCGGCTTCTCGCCTTCGTCAGAGCCTGAATGGTTAGCCAATAAAGTTTGTAACATTCCCGGCGTTGGCTACAAGACATCGATCTTAATGTATGAACTATGCGCCGAGATTTATCGAGAGTCGTACATGCTATTTAGTTTTGGAATCATTGTTTGATGTTCTTACAAATCGTATAGGAGCTACCCTTTGATTCAACAGGCTTGGCGGCTGGAAGGGTGGGTTTCGTGACCAAGGCTAGAAATGGTCAGAAAGCACGCGCGCAGGAGAGACGCAGACTGCGTAGCGGGCGCGAGCGGCCTTAACTAGAACAAAGCCCTGCCTTACAGCCGCCAAGGCAGTTGTAAAGGTTGTATGAAAAGGCCACTTCGACTAAAAATGCTTCCATTAGGGTTGTTTCAGACTGCCGCACTGACCACAGCTGTCTGCAACTGACCGCACTGACCGCGACGGCCGTACAGATTGCTGCATCCTTTCGTAAAGGAGGGTTAAATAATTTTAGCCAAAGCAGTCAACAACAATATATGCCTACACCCAAAAGACAACACGAGCGAGAGTACTACATAACATTTACATGCAATAATAGGAGGAATCAGAACAAATATGAGCAGATCAAAGGATAACAATTGCCAAAATTTGATTGGGAAGAATAAGTCAGAACCTATGAACTTCCTAGGCGTAAATCACGGTGTTTTGACGTGATCGCAATTGTTTTCTCTTTTATAAAAGGATGTAGCGATCTGTGCAGCCGCTGCGGTCAGTGCGGTCAGCTGCATTCTGCTGCGGTCAGTGCGGCAGTATGAAACAACCCTTAGCTTTATACAATTTACTTCTGTTCCTCAGTTTTCAAACATAACTCCATTCAATATGCTTGTTATGACATTTCACGGTAAGAAGAGGATGGCTTTTCTTTGATGCGCTTCATAAGAAGCTCAATATAATAAAAACTCAGTCATGCATGAAATTGCAAAGAAAAACATTTTTTGTTGCGGATTCGCTTCATTGTTCAAATTATTGATCACGGCTGCATACATTGATTTGATTATAAACAATCTGGCTTAACGGCATCCCAAAACTACAATTAAATATGTAACCATGACCAGAGTTTGAATAGCTTTTATGTTCTATTCTGGCAAGCAGTAGTATTCAGATAAATGCACTGCGTAGATAAAAGTAGATGCACCACATAATTATCACTATCATAGGGCATTGATAGTGCGGATCGTTAAAACGCTCATGAATAGATTTATAAATAACAAATCGCTAGATGTTCGACGATTATGATACAGGCTTTTAAAAATCCAATTGCGTCGCTTTGAACACCAACGCACTGGGCGGCTGGAAATGTTGGGTCCCGAAACGCTAAGGCTTGTTGCAAGCGACAATAAGCGCGCACTGCTTTCTTACATATTTCCTCAAGCTTTTGAAGGAACCAGGGCCCGGCACGAGGTTGTCAAATGACAAGCTGGAAATCGTTTTCGGCAAAAAAGCAAAAAAGATATCGTTTTTGCGGGGTCCGGGGCGAAGCCCGGTAAAAAAATTGGTAGTTTATGCCCTCTGCTTATTTTAACATGTTATGTGCCTCAAAAGGAAAACGTTGGAGTTCGCGCGCGTCAAACCGCGCCGTCGCTAATTGCCGCACGCGCGACGTCGCTCAAACGATGCTATTTGTAACAGCATACATGACTAGTTCTCAATGTATGCGCAACGATATGACAAATTTTGTAAGCGAACGGAGAGAGGCTAGTGGAAACAAAGTATGAAAAATTACGAAAAACTTATGTGAGCGAGCAATAAGCATTTTTTCCGAAAATTTTGCAAAATTGGTAGATGAAGTTGTGAATTCAAATGGCTCGTTTGCAACGCGCAGATGACGACATGGTATCAAACTTGGCACGTACGTGGACACAAGCCTGTAGGAGTTAAATTAGTAGTTTCATTGAAAAATTATGTGACTGAAGGTTGTGGCAAACTTTTTTTCTGAAAATTTCCCGCTACCAAAGAAACGAAAAAATGGCTCGTTTGCAACGCAGAGGTGACGAAATCGCGCGAGATTTGGTGTGTATATGCGCAGTAGGGCTAATTAACAAAGTGTGAAGAATTATGAAAAACTTATGTGAATGAAGAGCGTGCCTAACTTTTTTCCAAATTAGCTTGTCATTTGACAAGCTAATGACAAACTGAGCTTGTCAAAACTCTCAATTAACATAATTTTTTCAAAATTTTTACATAACTTCACTCTACACCTAAACATTAGTATATATTGAAATTTGAGTTTCAAACCCAGGGCCCGGCACAGATCGTCTGGAAGCAGGCTGGACTTCGTTTTTGAAGCAAACAGTAAAGGGGATATCGTTTTTGACGAGTCGGAATCGAGCAACAAGAATAAGCGCCATTTAGTCGAACACAAGCTTTTTGAACAGGTTATCACACTACTGACATGCTCTATCGTGCATGGCGAAAAGTGCGCGCGATTTGAAAGCAAGGCTAAAATAAACAAATTGCTTGTTTACAGCGCACACAGAAGCTTATGACACTCAAATTGAACTGTATGTATAGGAAATTATTTGCGAAAGTATTATGTGAAAACATTTGAAAACTTATGTGAAGTAGTACCTTTTCCAAAATTAGATCGTCTCCAGACGGCCAGCAGACGATCTGAGATCGTCTGGAGCATATATTTTCGTCACTTCACATAAGTTTCGGATCTTTTTAGCATGGACGGATTCCCCAGTCAAAAATCTATCCCTGAGCATGAAGACATTTTCATATCGTTGCCTCTCCTTTGTTTTTTGCTTTCATTTCTTTTCGGTTTGTTAGATATCGCGCTCTAATGCCAAAGTATCGTAGTATTCAGCTCCAATTTGGATTTTCACTCTTAACTTACTTCTTTTCTTTCAGACTAGTAAATCTTTCTTGCTTTCTTCTTCTCCTAAGCAGGTAGTTCAAAGGGGACTTCGTAAAACTTCCGAAAGTCAGGCGAGACTTCGTTCTCAGAAACCCTAGAAACCGACTCGTGCCGGGCCCTGTTCAAACCTCCTCCTCTCCCCATTGCTAGAGGCAAAAATAGCCTCAGCAGCCCCGTTTCCTAAGGAGGAAAGCGTGCTCCAATCAATCGATGACGGCGTCTGAGTCCTATAATCGGCGTCGCTTTGACATTTCTTCATTTCTTTTGGTCATTCACTTCGCTGTTATTTTCTCTTCGCTGTTATGTTCCCTCGTCTTCTTCTTCTCGTCGTCGTCTTCGCTCTTCAATCTTCTTCACTTCCAGAACCTGGGGAATGATTTACATCATCGTTTTTGGATTGCTCGCGCGAAAACTTTATTTTCCCATGCGTTTTTTGGATGTGTAATTTCAGGTTTGGTTTTGTTGTTTTCTTTTTTAGTAGCTTTTTCTTTTTGAGATTGACTATAATCTCTGAAATTTCTTGATTTGTCGCTTGGTTTTAAATGATGACAGCATTTTACCTCCTTTTCAAATCTACATTTTCTTGTAATTGAGAAGAACAAGCAGAGAAAAGCAGCGACTCTTATTTGTCTTTTAAAAGCTTTCACTGTATCACACTTTGAAAAATAAGTTCCAGATCCTATGGACACCAAATCTTCAATGCCAACTCCTGCGAAGGTTTTTGAGTTCATAGCGAAGGTGGGCACTTGTGTTGAGATGTAGATTACTGCGCTTCTTCACATAACGGTCTTAATTATGCAATGATATCTCTAATTTCAGATTTTTGCTGGCAGCACACCTGAGCTCAACCTCATGATCTCTTTCTGACCTCTATGTTCTTTTCTTGTTGTAAATGAGTGCTTTTCTTCAAACAAATGTTTTTCTGATATTGTAAATGAGTGCTTTTCTTCAAACAAATGTTTTTCTGATATAGTGTGTATTGCGCAAGTATAGCCTTCCCGTTTCTGAATCAAAGGGGAACTCGTAAAAAAATTCTGGGTCAAAGGGAAATTCGTTTTCGAGAACCCCTTTTGACAACCTCGTGCCGGGTCCTGGAAGGAACTTTTTGTCAAAATATACTTTACACCGTTGAAAACGGCGTAGAAGTTGACAGTCTCTTCAAAAAATGAACGCCTGCAGTTGTTCGCGGCACCGCTCGCATACGCTGTTCATGGCACGACGCGGGTAATCAATTTTCACAAGACTATAGTTATTAGGTCGGTGCGCAAATAATGTCATAGATTAGCTACCAAAGCATGTAATTATGAAAACATGTGGTATTATACTATTTTATAGAGCAAAGTAAGCTCTACAAGACGACCAACAGCCATCTTACTTGGCATCCAAGTGAAGTCTGGAGAAATCTAAAAAATTGCTATTTAGACGAAAAGGATGCCGCCCCAAAATAGCAAACGAGTCTATCACCCGCTCATCATCCAGTAGAAGTACTCATTGTAGTCAATTTTCACTGCCCAAAATTGAGAAATAGAAATTTAAAGAACACAGATTTCGCTTTTTCTGAGTGATGCTGAATTGTTTTTTAAGCGAAAACGCATAAAAAATTGTGACTTGACTGTCAGGCGATTAAGGGCATCATCTATTCTATGATTAAAAACGAAACCGCAAGGACATTGTCTTAACAAGTTTGAGTTTGCTCTATCCTGTTTTCAAAGAGTGAATAAACCTGGACGGGATAAATAACAAGTCCAAACTTGCTAAGTACACCCTTAGGCTTGCTTAGACAATGTGTGCAATGCGGTCTCGCGTCTCCTAGTCATAGAATGAATGATTTGTGTTATGCTGTGATATGCAATACCCCATGGTGAAGGGAGTAAACCTTTGTTGAGGGTGGAGCTTATTATTTTGTTTTCGATGTAGAACGCGTTGACCTTTGAGGATTTATCCAAATAAACAAAGAGTCTCTCTATACATAACGGCGTACATACCGCGGTTTCCTAGGAGCAATAAAGAGCGATACAATAAAACACCGCAGCAGTAAAGATCTGTGTCAATCACCTGCTCCCTTTTCCGTAAGCCCAGCGCCACGTCAGAGCTAGGGACGGCACCTTTGACCTGGCATATGAAAACCCTACAGTCTTTTCCAATCCGGGGTAATCGAAACATCCCAAGCGGAGCAGCGCATGCACCGCCACTAGCTCAGCGAGATAGACTAAGGCCCGTATGCACGTACGTCCCCGCTGGGGAGGGGAGGGGAGCTGGATCCCCAGGGGAACGATCCCCTCCGCCGAACCCCGCCATGACAGAGGGGAGGGGAGCGATCCCCTCCCCTGCACCTAAGCGGGGATGGTGTGAATGGTTTCAGAGGTATTGATCGAGCGAACCCCAGTGCATACGGGGTTCGAATGGGGGAGGGGATCCCTTCCCCTCCCCCACTCGAACCCCGTATGCGCGAATTCAACTCAACAGCGGGGGAGGGGATCGACATCCCCTACAATGGAGTAGGGGTTCGATGGTGTAGATCAATCCAGAGAAGCAAGTATTCTAATTTCAATCAATTATTACAAGGCATTTCGTTCAGATTGATGAAAGATTTTCTACGGGAGCCGGGTTCCTCTCTCAGCGACCTGTAGCTTGCAGTTTTAACTCTCTTTTCCATATTCGCTTCTTGTAAAGAAACCCGGACATATATCTGCCAGTTTCGAATATCTGTAGAAGTTTGAGGCCATTCACGAGAGTTGCGCGTTTTCTATTTGACATAATAGTTTTATCCATAAAGGCTGGTACAACGTATTGTAACTATCACATTATATGATAAACTGTCTTTATCTTGTTATTCTAAAGTAAAATTGCTTTGAATGAAATGAAAATCAGCAGACTCGCGTGTTTCTGAGTAGAGATCCTCGGGGGAGTGATCCCCTCCCCAACGTTCCCCTTGTGCATAGCAGGGATGGCCGCTGGGGATCATTCCCCTGGGATAAAGGACGATATGCAGCTGATAGCTACAGCGTTTATGGAGAGCTGGCACGATTTGCAGCTTCTGTTATGTGTTAAAATACTGCTTTGAGCGTCCGCGCGGCACCCCCCTCCCTTTTTCGGCAGCATGACAGCTCCTATCCATTCCCCTGCAGAGACACCTCAACTTCTATAGTTCAACATTTTACGCAGAAATGGGGCAGCATGAGCGAAAGTGGGCAGCATCCAAGAAAGCAGGAACATAATGGGAGTAGAAAAAATCATTTTTGATGCCCCGAGCGCATTCACTGCATACGCGCATTCCGCAACCCTAAATCATCGAAATTGAAGAGATGAAGATGAGTTGCAGTCAAAATATGAAATAAGAAAGAGTTTTTCATAGAAAATTTGAAAGCAAGGTGATCTCCCCGCTTGATCCCCTCTTGTGCATAAGGGGGTTCACTTCCCCTCCCCACAGGGGATCCCTTGTCCGATATTGTCTTTGTGCATACGGGGGTTCGCGGGGGGAGGGGAGGGGATCCCCAGCGGGGATCATTTCAATGGTAAAACGCACATCCCCTCCCCGCGGGGATGTACGTGCATACGGGCCTAAAATGAAGAGACGCAGATTGCAAAGCGGCGCGGATTGTTGGTGAGCGGACTCCCGCGTCCGAAATCCTCCTATATTGAGTTGAAATTCATTATACTATATCTTCCTGCAGTTTGATAACAGAAAATCTCCTGAACATAATTTTCGAGCTTTCGAAAGAAGCGATATCTACAAAATTTCAAAGAGATTCGGCAACTTCAACATAGTACCGTTTGATTCAACAGGATCAGCGGCTGGGCGACGGGGCTTCGAGGCCAAACCAAAACTAGAGTGTGATCAGAGAGCACGCTCGCTTGAAACACAAACTGCGTCGCGGGTGTGAGCGGTCGCGTTCCAGCCGTAAATCCCATTGAATCAAAGAGACTTTTGTACACCATCTTTTTCAACTTTGCTGATGCCACAGCAACGTCAATCAATAGGCAGCCCGATAAAGAGTTTTAAAGCAATTGTGGGTAAATAGAAATGCTTCAATTTAGCATATAACTCTTCGTGTCAAAATTGGCCTCCAAAAAATTATGTCATTTGATGCGGTGCTTCCAACACAACATCGCGCATATTTCGAAAATTTTTACAGTAGCAACGACGGTACTGTAATATGGTTGTGCTTAGCAATAGAGTCGGTGCTGTGCTTATTTTCGACTAGCTGGCATATCCGGCTCCGCCCGGCCCTGTCATTACACTATAATAGAAATCACCATGCCCTATCTCCGTACAACATTTGCCAGCCCTATAGCTCATACTTTGCAAAAAATCAATAAAATCGACAAAGGTGATCGACAATTCTGAAAAGTATTATTGTATTTGAAATTGGATGTTCAGTTGTATCTCTGTGCCAACTCTCAGCCTTATAACTCAAACTTTGCAAAAAAATCTATGAAATCGATATCGTTCGAGAAAAGTAGCCCACGACAGCCGCATTATTACGAAGTATATATATGCAAAGTATAGTCTGGGATCGGTTCAGAAATATAATTTTCTATTTGGTACATAGTAATATACAGACAAACGGAAAGAGAGACGTTCAGTTTCATATATAAGTCACAATATATGGCATATGAGAGTTACGAGTTTTCGGAGAAGTCTCGGCTTGCAAGCGTCGTTTAAGAAGGTTTGGTCAACCCAAAACTTTGTTCAAATCCATGTAAATGTGCAGAGCCCTGTCAAATTAGATAGTCAGCAACTTTATAGTTTCCGTTGCATCAGTGAAAACTTGACTTTAATGTAGAGCGGGATTCTGGTGATTCAGCGGATCATACTAATAGCAATGGGAAACTAGCCTTATATGGCAACGCGCAACACGATGTCGTTCATGACGCGAGTTATTAGGCTAGGAGGGTTTGCGAAGGGGGAATAAAGAGTGCAGATCCTTAAAACAGTGAGATATAAGACTTCTTCTTACAGCTCGCCTACCCTGCCAGCGGTGATGTACTTGCAAGCGGGCCTTTACTCTTTCGAAACCTTATTTGCGGCACATTTCAACGCTTGAAGGAATCTGAGGTTTCAGTGTACCATTATAGAAATGAAGAATGAGCTGTGGCTGTTTAAATAATTCTGATAATCTACGATAAGCTTTTCGAACTGTTTTGAGTTGAAGTCTAGAACACAGTATCAGGTCTAGCAAAGGCTATGGTGTCAAGAGATCAGTAGCAAAATAGCTGCTACCAATTTTGAGGGCACCTTGCACATGCGCTGTTGCCAAAGGGTAACAGATATCTACGCTTGTTTTTGAAAACAAACAAAAAAGCATGAAATACGAATATACCTTTGCATGCGCTCAGGGTCGCGCAGAAGTCATCAAGTCAGATTTGGCTACGTCTTATGGAAAAAAAGAGATATCGTGCACGTTTTTCAAATGATTATACACCACCTTACAGGCATGCGCATTTTCCTCAAGAACAAGTTAATACAAGACTGACATGTCCAGCGTGTTCTCTTCGAAGGGGAAATTCAAATGCAATGCAGTGAACAGCAACGTCAGGCACCAGCGATTATTATGACATAGAACTGAGACTACTGCATGCATTCTAATGGCAACATTATCATGTAAAAAAAACTGCTGGGATGTATGTGACATCAAACCTGTACAGGGTAACTCCACAGCGCTATCACGACGACTGCAGTGTCACAAAACATGTTCTTTTCATAGTTTTTTAAACCTTTTTCTACCAGTTTCTTTGCGCTCTCCATCTTATTGAAGGTCTATTGAACTATATTCAGGGCCAAGCGGTGTGGCATTCCCACCTGGATCGGGTGGAGAACTATACGTCGCCAAAAGGAGGTAGTCCCATGCGACATCTGCAACAGA